GAGGGCCCGCGGCGTGCCTAACGAGCAGGCGCGGCGGCGGGCGGTACGGGCAGGCGCGGCGGCTGTAAGGGAGGGCCCGCGGCAGCTGTAAGGGAGGGCCTGCGGCGGGCCTAACTAGCAGGCGCGGCGACGGGACGAGCGGGCCCGCGGCCGGGCCTAACGAGCAGGCGCGGTGGCGGGCGGTACAGGCAGGCGCGGCGACGAAATGCGGGGCGCCGCGGCGACAAAATGCGGGGCGCCGCAGCGACGAAGCGCGGGGCGCCGCGGCGACGAAATGCGGGGCGCCGCGGCGACGACGAGCGGGCGTTTAGGGCAGGGGGGGGAGGACGCAACGCGACGAGCAGGGTGGGAGGGCAGGTCGCAACGAGCAGCGGGGGAGGGCGTGACGGGACGGGAAGCCAAGGAGAGCGCGACGCGACGGGCTGGGGGGGAAGGCGCTACACTACGCGGAAAGCGGGTCGGCAGAGCGAGCGCTAACGAACGAGCGAGACTGGATCGGGCCGGCGCTAACGAACGAGTGAGACTGGATCAGGCCGGCGCTAGGCTCGGGCAAGACGGGTACGACTAGTACGAGAGAGCGAGACAGGCTCGGGCGGAACGAACGAGGACGAGAGGTGCGGGATCCCGCAGGATCCTAACCTAGGTGATACCATGTTAAGAATGAAAGTTTTGTGTTATTGATGAGGGTTGGGGTACATATAGCAAACCCTAACATTTGTACCCCCTAAGACAAACCTCACTACAGGCTACAACATCTGACAGAAGAGACCCTTTGTAAGACAGCGTTCAATAGAAGACACAGGTGTCTTTCATATGGGTTTTATCTTATAATCGAAAGTCCAAATCACAAGAGACCCTCTTAACGATATGGGATAAGGCACATTCCTTCTTATCCCGCATTGTCGGTCATACGTAAGGTCGAGGAGTCTTCCGAGCATTTGGGAGGTGACTTTCGATCAGCACAACAAGAATGAGGGAGCCAACGGGTAGGCCCCCCTCTGGGCATCTCTCTCTGGTCTCAACTTTCCTCTGCAATGAGATTCCTCTAAGAGGAAACAACAGTCGCCGCCACCGTGCATATGCGGCCACCTTTCGAAAAGTTGCCTATTTCATGTCACGCTTCTAGGTGGCTGCTTCACGGGGCAACTTTGCAACCCTTAAAAGAATTGCTGTTGTTTCTTGTGAAGTGACTCGGGAGGTAGAAACTTTTGCCCAAGTAACGTCATTTGCTTAATTGTATCGTCTAGCCCTAGATATAAGCGCATATGCGCCTATAATTAATTCATTTGTTTTAGGGGTGGCGCTTGTAATTGAGTAACGGCCATAAACGCCGACGCTTTTATAATGTCAAAAATGAATTTTGTTTTTAGAGGTACGAAACTGAAGCCCTCAATAAGGCGAACAAGACCATGTACTGTACGCATGGGATCGTGCATGAAATCCCGCCGAAAACAGTCGCGACTCGATTTTCCACCGCATAAACCCTGTCCCGGAGCAACGCACCTGCCAGCGATGACGTGCATTCTGCCGTATGACCCAGTAAGAATGTCATGCGCTGCCAGTGTACAACATTTCACCCGAACCTTCGAGAAGGGGGTGGAATATCCCTGCCAGCGCAACAGATACGTGCCGCGATTCCCTCCTCCGCGGGTTTAGGCAAGGGGGTACCCGACTATCCCTGAAGAGGACCTCGAGCCACACATCAGAAGGGGTCCCCTCCAAACCCTCATTTCTTTTCCAATTCTTTCACTTTCACATTCAGATTCTTGATCTGTCCCGCCATGCTGCGAAAGCCATGGCGAAATTCTTTGGCACTCATTTATTGTTCAAGAGGAAACCTACCTGTAAGCCCGCATTTGTAGTTGACGCGGACGGATGGTACTCCCCTGTCCCACCTAGCCCACCAGAGCCACCACAGCCTCCAGCGCCTCCAGCGCCGCCTGCTCATCCTGCTCCTCCTGCGCCTCCTGCGCCTCCTGTTCCTCCTGTTCCTCCTTCTCACCCGTTGCCGGTGTCTTCTGTTCACACGGGCAATCCTTCCGTGCTCACGCTTCTGCTCCCATCAGCGTTCGACGAATACCTCTCGGAACCAGAGTCCAAGAAGCCCATAGATAAGTATGTGGATGCTGATTATGTGCCAGGACAGCGCTGGGGCCGGCCCGACGATTGTACGTGGGACGAATCTGCAGTCGACACCGATGACGATCTCCCTGACGCTGAGGAGGAGTGTCGCGAGGAGGGCAGCAAAGGCGCCGAGGGTGGCACGGAGACTAACACCGATGCCAACACCGCTGAGGATGTGTTTCCCAAGGGTGTGCCGGGCGGCGACAAGGACGATGGTGTTGAGTACTGGTCACGCGACGGGCTCCCAAAGAAGTTGCCGATACCTACCTACCCTTCTACTAATCGCAAGCGACCCCACCCTTCTACACAGAACCGTGATGCCCGACCCCCCTCTCCCAGGCATAAGCTCAACGATCACAAGCGTCCAAGCGTCAAGCCTATACCGCCGCCGAGAAACTGAAGTACGTCGCGCTTCTGGATGTGGCGATTTCGGTGCGTGCTCTGGCTCGCGAGAGCGGCATACACCGCAAGTGCCTCTCCAACTGGAAGCGTTTAGCGAAATTCCTGAAGGAAGCTCACTCCGCACGGAAGCGGATGCACGGTCGCGGGAGATCGTCGTGGTGCCGATCGATGGAGATGAAGGTGTACGAGCGACTCCTCGAATGGCGCCGTAAAGGAACTGCCGTGTCGGTCGGCCGCCTGCAGGAGTGGTCGAAGGAGTTTATGAAGGTTCCCTACCCTCTTGAGAAGTGGAACGGGAGTCAACGGCGGTCGGAGCGGTTTCAGAAGCGCTGGAATCTAAGCGTCCGCATGAAGACAAGGGTCGCACAGAAAACCGCCGCTCGTAAGATTGCGTTTGCATAATCGCTTGTGCTTTACCATGTGATGTACTAATTGCACCCGTGTGTTTCGCACTGTTTCCCACCGTCTCGCAGATGTCGCGGAGCAGCGCAGGAGTTTTTGGCAGTTCGTCCGAGACAAGCGACGCGAGCGCGGCATCGAGACCACGTGGATCATTAACGCTGACCAGACGCCTCTCTGGCTGGAGATGCCCGCCACCACGACCGTTGAGCAAGCGAGCGTTTGCTCGGTGCTCATCAGGAGTGCCGGGTACCAAAAGGAGCGCGTGACCGTGATGTTGGCCTGCACGGCGGACGGCGCCAAGCTCAAGCCTCAGGTTTTTTTCAAGAGGAAGACGCTGCCGAAGGGCGACTTTCCGCCGGGTAAGTTAGGTTTGTTTGCCGTGTGTCGCACACGTTTTTGTTTAACCGTTTCACAACCCGATGTTTATTGTGCAGATGTGGTCATGGCCTGCCACGAGAACGGGTGGATGGACTCCGCGGGCGTCATTCGCTGGCTCGACGAGTGTCTGAAGTCGTTCTTGAAGCCGTCTTTCGGTCGGCACTCCAAGAGCTCTATGGTGGTTCTGGATTCGTACCACGGGCACCTCACCGAGGGGGTGAAGGAGAAGTTCCGCGAGATGAACTGCGTGCCGGCGATCATCCCGTCGGGCTATACGGGGGAGCTTCAGCCCCTCGACGTCTCCGTCAACAAGAGCTTAAAGGCCTCCGTCCGTCAGCAGTACCAGAAGTGGTTTCAAGAGGAGGGGCAAGAACAGCTGACGGCAGCAGGTACGGGATTGAACTAGTTTTTGTCTATGCACGTTGATAAAATCCCCTCTGTTGTTGCTCTAATCACCATGGTTTCTTTGTGTTGTTTCAGGGAATCTCAAGAAGCCGCCACTCGCAGTGGTTCTGAGGTGGATGTCGCGGGCCTGGAGGGTAGGGCCCGCCGACCTCATCAAGCACGCCTTCCTCATCTGTGGCATTAGCAACGCGCTTGACGGTAGCGAGGACGACCTCGTCATGGCGCACAGGCATACACAGCTGACCGCAAAAGTGGATGTCGACGACGACATCATCGCCGATGTCTTTCTTGGCAACAACTGCGAGGAGCCCGAGTATGACGAGGAGGAGTAGCTAGTTGGTTCCTTGGTAGATAGGCCCTTGTAAACGCCTGTTCATTGAGTTCGAAGTAGGTAGTTGTAATTCTTGGTGCTAGATTTCTGATGAAATGCTTTCAGAGATGTTAATTGTTAGTGTTCTTTTATACATAGTAAAAATGTTAAAGGTATGCGCTTATAATAAGTATGGGTACAAACTGGTGTGCGCCTATAATCGAGGAACGGCCATAAGCGCCATGCTCCAGATAGTAGCGCCGGCGGCTTAAATCAGGCGGCTATCCGGGGCTATACGGTAATACCTCACAGCCTGAGCAGGCATGATTTCATAATGAGTAAACATCCCCGATTATACGGTAAGACTTACAAGACACCCTGAAAGTTCCGTTTACAAAATCATCACATCTTCAAGTCCATATTGGATAAGACCCATACCATATGTCTTGTATCCGGGCGATGACGGTATCAATATTACCACCGGCGTATAGGCATAGGGAGTCTCATAAACAGAGGGCAGAATTGATACCATAACATGCACAGGATACGAACATGCTTGTTCATCCAGTTATGTGAAGATTCAATTCATGACCATGGTGTGGCAGGATACTACCAAGTGCTGTGTGGAGCTGTGTCAATGGAGACAACTTATGCAACTGTTGCGGAAATAGGGGGCCTCTTGAGGTTAGAACGATGCCCCAGAGCTTGAAGCAGCGGCATGCGGAGAGATCACGCATCAGGAGGGACAGATGCAGCAGTTGCTGATGGAGGAAGGACTATGCGTGTAGAGGGTAACTTGGTCCAAGGAAATCCACTTCTGCCAAGGTCAGACATAGCACATGGCACAGGGATCGAGGTTGTTGAATGGTAGTGTGGCAAACTTCATATCTGAAGTGGAGCGCGTGGGAGAATAACTGGGCAGGCAAGACGCCGCAGCAGATACGTAATGGGGAAGCAAGCTGTCACACACTGGGCCCACTCACCCGCCACACTTGCCAAACTCGCTGGTGATGCGGCCAGCTGCAGCCTTGGACAAACTCGTCTTACTCCACGTGCCTGTGCTCTCCTCACTCCACGGCTGCACGTTTTTGCTGCTGCCGTACGCGTGCATGTACAGCGGCTTGAGCTGCACCTTGGACTTGGTGTGGCGGAGGTGCACGTCCCAGAGTGAGATCTGCCCGCATGGTGCGTGGTTGCTGCACCGCAACTCGATGCCCCCGACGGCGCTGCCGTTGGTGGTGCCGCGGATGCGCGAGTAGGACACGTTGAACACCGCGATGCCGCTGTGCCCATCGTCACACGGCTCCCTCTCGCAATAATACTGGATGAGGCGGAATGGGAGGTGATACAACCGGGCGACAGAAGAAAGTCGAGAGGAGAACATAGCTTGGGTACGGGCTAGAAAGGAGAGGTGCGTATCATCCAGCAACCGCATTCAGTGCCCATAGGGTACATTGCATACAGAAACGAGGAACATGAGGGATTTATTTCGCACGGATAGCCACGAGTTACTCGCTGCTAAATCCCGAGGCTGCATCCCCATCCCCTCCTTTTCCTCGCAGCTCCCAGGTGGCACCTGGTCGATGATGATCGGACGGCCCACGTCCACCATGGTGACGTTGTCGTAGCGGATGTTCCACACGGCGCCCTGCCCCGTCTCGTACGTCTTGATGCGCAGCCCGTTCTGCAGCCCTGCCATGAACACGTTGCGCACCGTCACGTTGCTCACACACGCCAGCGCGCCGTAGTTTCCAAGACTGCCGATGCTGGAAGGGGCAGTGGGTAAGAGCGAGGGAGAGGGAGGGAGATGAGAGCTGTGCTTGCACGTGATGCACGTGAGGAGGGTCCTGAGAGCGGGGATGCGGGTGCCCTGATCAGGGAACGAGCAGCATGGCCGTGTGTGTGAACATGAGTGCGAGGGTCAGTTAAAGTGTAAGTATGAGCGCGGGCAGATGTGTGAGCATGAGTATGAACGTTTGTGAGTGAGATCGTGAGTGTGAGCGTTTGTGTAAGTGTACCTGATGCCATGGCCGGCAGTGCAGACAACGTTTTGAATGAGGATGTTGGACGAGCTGCCCACTATCGACACATTGTCGTCCCCTGCACTCACACATATGCACCACACATGCCACACGCCACACGCGTTACAGCACGCAGAGCGTGGATCAACAGCCACACACAGAGAACTTCCCCACTCTCCACCATAACCCCCCCAACCTCGCACCTCTCCTTCCCACCCTTTCCCCATTCCCCCCTTTTTCCTCCCTTCTCCCCTCACATTTCTCCCGTTTCCCCCTGTCCCTCCTCCTGTTCTTCCCCACTCTCCCCCGTGGCAGCAGCAGCGGGCGCTCACCGCCGTGCAGGGTGCAGTCTTCAATGAGGACGTCGGAGGAGAAGACGATGTGGATGCTGTCCGTGTTGCCGCCGTTGTACGGCGTGCGCGTCTCAAAGTCATGGATCCACACGCGCTCGCAGAACCGGATGTTCAAATGCACCTTTGCTGGGTTGCTGCACGGTTCATTAACGGGGGGGTTGGGACAGGGAAGAGGGATGCGGAGAACCGGAGACCTCAGGTTGTGATGTAACCCGGTCCGAATCCACCTGAACCACATTCACCTGGACTAAATTCACCTGAACCACATTCACCTGGACTAGATTCACCTGAACACATTCACCTGGACTAGATTCACCTGAACCACATTCACCTGGACTAGATTCACCTGAACCACATTCACCTGGACTAGATTCACCTGAACCACATTCACCTGGACTAGATTCACCTGAACCACATTCACCTGGACTAGATTCACCTGAACCACATTCACCTGGACTAGATTCACCTGAACCACATTCACCTGGACTAGATTCACCTGAACCAGGTCCATCGGAGAGGCAGACCCACGTGGGGCATGAGCGGAGCAGGGCATGTGGCAGTGCAGGGAAGGACAGCCTCACGCACCTGATGGTGATGCCGGTGACCTCGGCATCCGTGCAGTTCTCCAGCTGCAGCAGGTACGGCCGCCGCGCCGCACGTGGCCACACCTCGTAGCCCTGCCCGTCCATGCGCCCGGAGCCAGTCACGAGGAGGCGCGGGATGGAGAGCAGGTTGATGATGGGCGTCAGGTACGACACCCCGCGCGGATAGCTCGATATCATGCCCTCCACCTGGGCGCGTGGTGTGTGGGGAGAATGGGGAGGGGATAGCGTGGGGAGAGGGCAGAGTGTGCAATGAGTGCACAGAGAGTTGCATGATGCGTGTGAATAGGGGATGGTTTATGTACATTGGGTTAACAAACGAGGGCAAGGGAAAGCGCAGCGGACCTTGAAGACAAGTCCCCCGCTCTGGCAGGGCCCTCGCCACACCACGTTGCGCCCCTTCATGAAGAACGTGAAGCCCCGCGGGAACAGCAGCGTCGCCAGCCGGTCCTGCCGCCCCCCATCGTACTCGCACGCCCTTGCAAACGCACGGCTCATGGCGTCTGTGTCGTCTACCTTCCCGTCCCCCACCGCCCCGAACGCCCTCACGTTGAACACGCCCTCGGGGGAAGGGAGGATGGGCGGGGGGGGCGATGGGGGCTTTGGAGGAGGGGGGCGTGGGGGCGGGCGTGGGGGAGGGCGACGGGGGGGGGGACGGAGAGGGGGGCGGCGTGGTGGGGGTCGTGGAGGGGGAGGGGGGCGAGGGGGACGTGGAGCGGGGTGGCGGCGCTTGGGTGGGGGGGAAGGGGGGCGGGGAGGTGGGGAAGGAGGAGGGAACTTCGGTGGGCGGGGAGGGGGTCTTGGCGGGGGAAAGGGGGGTGGACTGAGGGGGGGCTTGGAGGGGGGAGGAGGCCTGGGAGGGGGTCTGAGAGGGGGTTTGGGAGAAGGTCCGGGTGGGGGTCTGGTAGGGGGGAGGACAGGAGGGGGTAGTGGAAGGGTTGAGGGTGGTGGTGGAGAAGGCGAGAGGAAAGGGGACGGGGAAGAGGAGGGAGGAAGCGAGGAAGCGGGGGTGTTATTAGCTGGGCGAGGGGGAGCAGGAGAGGGAATAGGTGGTGGTGGGGGGCGGAGAGGAGGGTGGCGGCGTGTGGGGGGCTTGGGAGTCGACAAGGGGGATGGCGGCGGGAGGGGAGGCGGTGTGACAAGGGGGGAAGAGGAGGGAGGAGAGGGCATGAGAGGAGGAAGTAAGGAAGGAGATGAGGACGGAGGCAAGGGAAAGGGGAGTGGGGACGGAGAAGATGATGGGGGAAGTAACGGGGGAGACATGGGAGGCGCAGGAAGGAACACAGGAGGGGGTGTTTCTTGGGTGCTGCTGCCGCTACCGCTGCCATTGCTGCCACCAGTGCTGCTACTGCCATTGCTGCCACTGCTCCCTCCCTCCACGCTGCTGCCTTCCACTTCTGGCGGTACTGGCTTGGCGTTCCCCCGTGGTGGCGGGGGGCGTTGCGGTGCACGCGGAGCCGCAGGCGCAGGAGGAGGGGAGCGAGGAGGCGGAGGGGCAGGAGGGGCAGGAGGAGGAGGAGGAGGAGAGTGAGGAGGGAAGAAGAGCGGGGGTCTGGGTCTCTTCCTTCCCCGCTTGCGCCTCCTGGGAGGGGGCGGGGGCGGCGGAGGGGGAGGCGCACGGGGGCGAGGCGGAGGCGGCCGGGGGGGAGCACGGGGGCGGAGAGAAGGGGAGGGGGAGCGCGAGGAGGGGGGGGGGGAGGCGGTGGTTGACCCTCCACCTGCTCCCGGCAGTGGTGGCCTCTTACGACTTCGCGGCCTGCCTGGTGCTGCTGGTCCCCGTGCCTCCCCTGAAGGCAGCACACCAGGTGGTGCTGCAGTGCCTGCTGGTGGTCGTGTGGGGGGCGGAACCAAAGGTGCTGGTGGAGGGGGTGGGGTTGGCCGGCGTGCCCTTGGGGGCTTCTTCCCTCTGGTTGCATCTGCTCCCCCTGCGGGCGGGGGCTTTCGCTTCTTGTGCTTTGCACGACTCGTCCTCTTGGCAGGAGGGGGAGGGTGCCGTGAGGAGTGGCGTCTGGGGGCGTGGCGGGGCGAGGCTGGGGACAAGTATGGGCGATCCCACGCGAACGGTAACGGGTCGTACGATTGCTTTGAGTCTGCTTCGGCTCTGGAGTGAGGGGCACTGGGGGGTGGCGGGGGCTTTTTGTGCAGCGCTGCTGCTCGATGGGTCGGGGGTTTAGGAGCATGAGGCTTGGGAGGATGCAGCTTGGAAGGATGGGGTTTGGGAGCAGCAGGGCTGGGAGGGCGCGAGAAGGGATGGTTGGAGGCGGCAGGGCGAGGTGAGGCAGAGCTGGGAGGGGGAGTGAGAGGAGTGCGAGGAGTGCGGGGGCGAGGGCGGTGCAGAGAGGGTGGGGGGGAGCGGGGCCAGCGGAGGGAGTTGGTGAAGGGGGAGGAGGGGGATATGAGGGGCAGTCGCGAGGAGGATGACACTGTGCGATGGGTGGTGCGCGGGGAGAGAGGTGCGACAGGCGGGTGCGTGTGCTTGCGCTTGGGGAAAGTGGCAGAGGATGGATGGTGCGTGTTGCTGGCTGCAGCAGCTGTGCTAGCTAAAGAAGTCACGAGAGGGTGGTGGGGAGGACGCGGTTGGGGGGAGTGGGGGGGTGGTTTGTGAGCCAGAGAGGACGTGGCGTGGTGGGTACGTGGTTGCAAGGGGTCTACAGATGCGATGGACGCAAGCCCGCTATGGGCTTCCCCTGCCCCCCCCTCACCCTTCCGCTGCTCTTGCTGCTGCTGTTCCTGCTGCTCCTCCTGCTGATGCTGCTGCTGCTCCTGCTGCTGCTGCTGCTCTTGCTGCTGCTCCTGCTGCTCCTGCTGCTGCTCCTGCTGCTCCTGCTGCTGCTGTTGCTGCTGCTGCTGCTCCTGCTGCTGCTGTTGCTGCTGCTCCTGTTGTTGTTTCTGCTGCTCCTGCTGCTCCTGCTGCTCATGCTGTTGCTTTTGCTGCTCCTGCTGCTGATGCTGCTGCTGCTGCTGCTGCTCCTGTTCCTGCTGTTGTTGCTGCTGCAGCTGCAGCTGCTGCTGCTCTTCCTGTTTCTTTTTCCCACCCACCTTCTCCTCCTCCCCCTCCCCCCCCCCCTCTCCTCCTCCTCCTCCTCCTCCTCCTCCTCCTCCTCCTCCTCCTCCTCCTCCTCCTCCTCCTCCTCCTCCTCCTCCTCCTCCTCCTCCTTCCCTCCTCCTTCCCCTTCTTCCTCTTCCTCCTGCCTTTCCCCACCACCCACCCCCTCCCTCTCCCCCTCCTGCTGCATCTGCGGCTCCCACAGTACAACACCCCCGCTTTGCTCCTCCTGCTCCTTCTGATGCAGCTTTGGCAGCTGCAGCGGCAGCAGCAGCAGTGGTGGCGACCGTGCCACTGGCGGGAGAAGAGGCAGCGGGGGATGCAAGTGCATGTAGTGCGGAAGCAGCTGCGCCTCACCACTCTCCCGCCCCTCCGCCAACCTCCTCCCCTCCATGGCTTCCCGGCGAGCTACTGTGGACGAGGGCACTTGGTGTGGGGACAGGGGTATGGTGCTGAGAGGGAGTAGGCCCCATGGGAGGGGTGAACGGACCAGCGTGTTTGGGAGAGCTAGAGGAAAGGGGGACGAGAGGGGACTGGATGAAACAGACGGGAAGAAGGGTGAGGGGCAGGTGGGCATGGCGTGGAGTGTGCTGGTGGGTGTGTGGCCGGGGAGGGAGGGTAGAGATGGGAGAGCGGGTGGTGCAAAGGAGGGGCGAGCGGAGGGCGGAGGGTGGGAGTGGAATGCACAGTCGAGGTTGTGTGGCTGGAGGGAGCGTGCTAGGACCATGAGGGAGTCGCGAGGTGCAGGTGGGGATGGGGCAAGAGGTGCGGGCGGGGGGTAGAGCAGAGGGAGGGCACGTGTGTGTGGTTGGGCATGGAGAGCGAGCGAAGTGGTAGTTTCAGACAGCAACGCATTGTGCTTGGGAGTGGGCGAGGAGGAGGAGAGGTGGCGAAGGGGAGACACGGTTGTGGTGGTGGCAGTGGTGGCGGTGGTGGTGGTGGTGGTACTGTGCGTGCAGTCAGGGAGAAGGGTGTGTGTGCAGTGGGGCGGGTGGAAGAAGCAGTGGGGGTGCGGCAGGCAGGGCGAGAGGGACAAGGGGCCATGGCCGTGCCACGCACAGGCGTCGACAGTGCAGGGATTGCTGTCGTCACATGGTTCTGGTGGAAGGGATGGAGGGATGGAGGGATGGAGGGATGGAGGGATGGGGGATGGGACATGAAATGAGACGGGAGAGTGTGAAAGTTTCAGGTTTATGGGGCAAAGGACGAGGTCAGAAGCTTCGGACTAAGGAGCATCCAGCTAGCAGTCAGGTTGGGGGAGGAGGGACAGCTACCTGGAAAGATGGCAACCACAGCGCAGGAGGCGTTCAAGAGGAAACGACAGGATCCAGAGAGGTGCAGTGCGGTGCCATGTGGTGCCCAGGAGTCGTCTGAGGTGAGCGTGCTGGGAGGATGAGAAGGGGGCATAAAAGGGGGGCGAGGGAGGGTGAGAGAAGTGAGAGGATGGAAGAGCAGAGTGCACAGACAGGGTGTCATTCATTGCTTCGCGGGCGGAGCAGGCGCATTATAAGCTGTTCAGGACACACGGGTCATGGGATGCGGAGGACACTCAGAACCAAAAGACAACACTTTTGGGCCTCCATTGGAGAATAGTACAGGATTCGATCTAAGACCATCCCCTTGTCCGGCATACCTATCCACTTCGTACCTGCTTGGTTTGTACGGCTCGTGTGAGAAGGTGCCTTTTTCCCTGTCGAACCTGCACACCGAGCTGCTACCCTCCGCCGGCTCCGCTGGGGCAAAGACAAGGGGAAGGGGGAAGGGGGAAAGGGGAAGCGGGAAGGGGGCAGGGGGAAGGGGGTAGGGGTGAGGGGGTGAAGTGCGTGGGGAAGGGGAAGGGATGGGGTACAGAACGCACAGGAGATCGTCGGCGCGGAAGTGAGGCGGAACGCGCTACGATAATAAACAGCGCGATTCGCGTACTACGCAATACAATTGTTCCTGGGGGAAAGCAGTACGGGCTGCTTGTCGTTTTCGGAATCAGGTAGCCATCATCTAAGCAGGGTAGTACGAAGGCGATTGAAAGGGCGATGATGACGCAGCCTCGGATTGCATAGTCGAACGAAACGCTGCCTCCGCTTACCCACACCGTGGTCTGACCGCGGATCGTCCACGCCCGCGGATATAACCGCGCGCTCGGCGCCGCTGTCGGCGGCGGGTGGATCTGATGGAACCGCCAAAGCATCGTTTCTTGCGAAATGATTGAGGAGGAGTAGCAGGAGGAGAGGGAAGGGTAGTTGCGCGGATGAACTGATGCGTGTCATCGCAAAGGCCGCATCGGGGATAAAAAGTGCTGCCTGCTCGATGCTCGCTCAAAGAGAGTTAAGGAAAGCGAGCACTAACGCACCAAGGAAGACACTCAATACGTAAAGCCGCGAAGGTTGGTGGTCTAGATCTAAAGCACACGTCTGGCGTTGGAATATGGGCGAGCGACATAGTGTTCTCATGGTTGGCAAATCTGTTCGTCTCGCTTTCGTGGTCGAATGCAGTCGTTCCTGATTGCAAGTAGCGACTGCTTACGCCTGAACGGATTCCTCTCAAAGGAAATTACTGAGGGAACTGCTATCGGATGACGGTCGGTGGACTTTCACACTCAGATTTGCTTATTTTACAACCGTGGGGCAGGCATGTGAGACTTTCGCCGCCATGGACACTGACTGGGTCATTCGACCCCGCCACCATTTACACCGACCAAGCCCAGCGGTAGTCATTTGGGTAAAGCCGCGAGATTAGGAGAGCCAATGAATCTTGCTGGCACTGCGCGCTAGTTGCATCGAGCATACTTGTACGCCGTCGATCTGCAGCAGATGCACTTCAAGGCAAGATCGAGGATGACAGGGTGGCGGAATCAAAAGCGCGGTTCGACGCTGCTTCCTTGTAGGCTTGCGCTTCGGCAGTCTTGCTTCTGACTGGCTCGATTCGTTGCCATTCAAATTGTAGGCTCGAAACCGAACCGGACCCATTTTTCGTAAGGGAACACTTTTGTTCAGTGCGACTGTATACATTTCGCATAATGTTTATGTAAGGGCTGATTGTTCCTTTGACAGCGCAATTTGCAGCACTTCATGAGGTTCCGTCTTTGCGGGTCCCCACTCAAACCCAGTGGCGATGGCGGTGGATGTTGGTGGCCTTTCCCCTTGGGAATATCTGGCGGACGAGGTGTGCCACCTTGCGCAAGATCTGCGCACGTTTCCGCAAGTTCACCCCTCGTTGCCCTTGCGTGCGATGAATCCGCCCACCGCGAAACGTCGCTTCAGCTTCGCACGCCCGAACTTGCGATTTCCGAACCTCCGCAACAGTGATTTGATGGAGGGGTTTGCCACGTGGCATGGGGATTCCGCCAAACGGAATCTCCCCACCGCAACCTCCCCCATCCGCTTATCCTACCCCACAGCCTGGCCGTGGCGCGCTGCACGCCAGGTCAGGTGGTGGCGGAACGAGCGGAGAAGAAGAGGCAGCGATGAGCGGAAGTCTTATCGCTTTCGTAGAGTCGTTGGCTAGGGTTTGGTCGCGTTAATTGCTCTTGTAAGGCGTCCATGTCTGTCCGCGACCTGCGCTGAGGGTTCGGCTATTAGTCACCTTCCTGTGGGATCTCTTCGCGTTTCGGCAAAGTCGCGAAGTTTCTTGATGACGAGTGACGTATGATCGCATATTGCTCGGATCGCTAAGGGGATCACTTTAATCGGAGATGTTGGAGGGTAAGCACACCCTCTTGGTTGCCCATCGTGGAACTGGGATGTGAAGTCTCTACTTACCATCGACTAAGCGGCTTCTTACATTCGACCGGCACGATCGTCGGGTATTTTTGCAAGGGAATGCACCGCAACTTATCGACCACTCCGAGGACTTGGAAACCGCACTGGGCTACTGTGCGGGGCACTGTCTTCCGGAGTGTAGATTAAAGACTCGGGTTGGTGTGCCAATATCGCTCGTCAGTGGAGTCCTAATCTTGGGAAAGTGACGTTGCGGGTTAATCATCACGCGATTCTTTCGGTTGCTTGTGAATACACGGGTGCTGAGTCGCACGGGGGACGATGGACATTGACGACGAGGGGAAGGCTCCGCGGGGGAGGTACTTGGCGCGCTCCCCCGTGCGCGCGCCGTCCATGGCTGGCGCGCGATCTCGTCCCGCGGATCTATCGGCGAATGCGGTTCCGGGTCGCAGTGCAAGAGAAGGCGCAGGCTCAAGGGGGTTGCAGTATGCGGCGGAGAAGGAGCATGAAGATGAGGAGGAGGAGGACGAGGAGGAGGACGAAGACGCAGAGGGGGAAGACGAGGAGGGGGACGGGGAGGGGGAGGCGGACGGTGAGGAGGACGAGGATGAGGATATGGTGGAGGGGGAGGCAGATGGGGGGGACGAGGATGAGGGGGGAGAGGATGAGGAGGTGGGAGGGGACGGAGGTGAAGGCGAGGAGGAGGAGGAGGTGGAGGGGGACGAGGTCGAGGAGGAAGAGGAGGAGAGGGAGGAGGCGGGTGCGGAGGGACGAGGAGGCGAGCACGAAGAACAAGAAATTGAAGACGAAGCGGACGACGAGGAAGGCGAAGAGCCGGAGGAGGAGGAGGTCGAGGAGGAAGTGGAGGAGGAAGAAGAAGAGGAGGACGTGGATGAGGAGGGGGTCGAAGGTGCGGCGGTCGCAGGTCGCGCGGGGAGCGAGGGCAGGGCGGACGAGCAGGCATCTGAAGACATAGACGAGGACGAAGACGTAGACGGAAATCAAGACGGAGACGAGGACGAGGAGGAAGGCGGGCGCGGGCGGGAGCACGCGCAAGGCGCGCGTCCGCGGGCGCAAGCGCACCCGGCGCACGGCAAGAAGCTGCTGGTCGCGGGCGTGGCGCGGCGCGGCAACAAGCTCGTGATCTCCCGTCCGGGCATCACCAGAGAGGCGGATCGGCGGGAAGGGGACGCGCAAGGGGCTGGTATGGCGGTCGAAGGGAGAGAGAGCGGGAGGTCTGGGGAGTATGGTAGCGGGGAAGAGTCGGGGGATGGGTCAAGCGGTGACGAGTTGGCGGAAGAGTTGGCGGAAGAGGAGGACGAGACAGATCTGGGCGGCGGACTGGGCGCGGTCGCCGTTGGGCGCGCGGTTGGTGGCAGGGCGGACGAGCAGGAGGGGGGACTTGATGGGGAGGAGGAAGACGAAGAGGAGGAGGAAGAAGAGGAGGAGGAAGAGGAAGAAGAGGAGGACGAGGAGGAGGAAGAAGAGGAGGAGGAGCTAGAGGGGTTTGGGGTTGCGGATGGAGAGGGAGAGGCATCAGAAAATGCGAAGCTTTTGTCTCAAGTGCTAGCAGGCGAAGATGTGGACGTTGGGGTTGCGGAGGATGAGGACGGGGGGGACTCCGGGGCGGGCGTAGGTGACAGTGACGACTCGGAAGAGGAGGAACAGGAGCAAGAGGACGGCGAGGCGGAGGAGATCGACGCAGAACAAGAGGGCGATGTACAAGGGGAGGAGGAGGGGGAGGAGGAGGAGGAGGAGGCGGAAGAGGAGGAGGAGGATGAGGAGGAGGAGGGGGAGGGGGAGAAGGAAACGGAAGAGGGGGATGAGGAGGAGGAGGAAGAGGAGGAGGAAGAGGAGGAGGAGGTGCAAGAGGGCGTGCCATCGCCGTTGAAGGCGGCAGAGCTGGAGCACATGCCGCTCAAGGAGTTACGGGTCAGTGCAACACGCCGCATGCTGCTCCTTCCTCCCTTGCCGTGCCTACCATAGGCAGGGCTCCTCCTTTCGGTTGTAAAGCCTAGGTAGCTTGTTGCTTGTCATTTCGGTTGCTTGATTTTTCGTGAACCTCCTCCGTTCATCCCTCTGTCGGTATTTCTCTCCGTCTGTTGCTGCCCCTTCTCCCGTGCAGCAACTGTACACGAGCCGGCTGGGCGAAGTGACGACGAGCAACAACAGCACATGGCTGCGAAGGAAGCTGCTCGGCATGTGCGGTGAGTACCGCCACCACCCACCCGCCACCACCACTACTCTTGCTCTTCCTTCACGCCTTTGGCCTGTTCAAATCGGCACAACTGTCCATACCTGCTCGTCTCTGCTTTGCTGCACCCGCTCTGCTTCGCTCCGCTGTCCCCCAATCCCTGTCCGTTCAACGTGCGCATGTCCGTGTGCAGCAACGGTGCGGTCCAAGGGAAGCTCGCCTACCAAGCCCGGCAAGCCAGCGTAAGTCGCCACTCATACTCCCGCACATGCCCTTAGCGTTCGTTCATCTGCTGGAATCAACTGGCTTTCGATTGCCATGCTTGTAATGCAACTGCACGTTTTCGTGTGGCCATGTTTCCCAAGCCAAGCCATGCCTTCTTGCTACTGTCTCCTTTCAAAACGATCCAATTTTATGCCCCTTCCTCCAACCTCCCCACCTCTTTTCCTTTTCCTCAGCAGGTCGTCTCCCCCAGCGCCATCACCGCAGCTGTCATCGCGCGCCCACAGCAAGCGGTCGTCCCTGCCTCCAAAGAAGTTCCGCTCAGATGTCATCATGCTGCCGCTCTCCCAGTCGCCCACCGCCTCTCCCTCCCCCGCTGCGCACCGCAAACTGCTCCTCCTCCCGCCCCGCCCCCCCACTTCTAATGATGGGGACGGTGCTTCGGCTGCCGAGCCTGGGCAGCAGGGCCGGCAGCTTCCGTCCGCGCCGCAGGGGTCGAAGCGGAGGCGCGGGGTAAGGCTGGCAGGGGGCGGGAGCAGAGCGCATGGAGGAAGGGGGAAAGGGAGGCCGGATGGAGAGGAGGAAGCGAGGGGCAGAGAGAGGAGGGGAGATGGGGAGGCGGAGGGGGAGGAAGAGGCTTTGCTGATCCCATCGGAAGTGCCTGCAGCAGCGTACAGGCATGGGATGCTTGTGTGGGTGAAGCTGCAGCCGGGACTGCCTTGGTGGCCGGGCCTGGTCCGCAAAGTGCATGCTCAGGCGCATGAAGATGAGGGGGAGGAGGGGAGAAAGGCGGCTGGTGAAGGGGACTCACACGAGGGGTTGCTGACGGTGGTGCTTGTGGGGGAAAAGGGCGAAGGGTGCGACGGTGATGGTGGTAGCGCGGAGGAGGATGAGGTGGAGGAGAAGATTGAAGGTCTTAAGAAACGGGATGGTGAGAGGGCGAAAGTGAAGGAAGAGCGGGAGGAAGGGAAGGGAGAGCAGACTGGCATAGAGGCGGCAGCGGCGGCAGGAGAAGAAGGCATAGCAACGTTACAGGGGCGCATTGGCAAGAGGTCAGTTGCCTGTGCAGCATACCTTCTCCAAAGCTGCACATGCCTCTCCACATACTCGCCATGCCCACAGTTCTTCTCTTGCGTCATCCTTGTGGCTTTCTTTGCTATACCCAACCCTGTTCGCGCTGCACTGCCTTTGTTGTGTCCATCTCTCTCCCCTCTCTGCAGGGCTACCATTGCAAGCGTTCTTGTCCTTCCCTTCGCACCTGTTCGCACTCAGCTAGGGCGGCAGGTAAGCTGCGTTCACCGCCCCTTCCCACTGCGTGCTCTGTGCACCTCCGCCTGGAACCCTACTTTACTTTGCCTACCCCACACGCACAGAAGCATTCAGCTAGCATCTGTACGTAAACCTACTTAACCCCCCTAGCTCCAATATTGCTTTCCCGTCCCCTTCCTTTTCCCCTTATCCTTTCCTTTCCCTTTCCCTTCCCCATCCCCCCTGCGCCACATCACCCGCATCCCCACCCCTGTCCAGCGCATGCCATGTGTGCCTGGCCTGCGGTCTCTCTTCCGTGCAGCCCTCGCATGGGCGGACGCGCACGCACAGCAGCACCCCGACACAGACGGAACGAGCCTGGCGGCGCTGGTGGGAGCGCCAGGGCCGGCGCACAGGAGTGGCGGTGCAAGTCTGGGGGAGGAGGAGGTGGTGCTGCCGGTGAAAGGGGCACACGGGGCAATGTGGCGGGCGAGGAGACGCGATGGGAAAGGGGTATGTGCTGCATGGTGCTGAGTTGAGATGAGGTTCAGGGCATGTGGCAGGATGAGGGTGGGGGTTTGGTAGGCTGTTAGAGATTGCACCATGTGCAGTTTTGTTTCAGTCTGGGGGCTTGAAAAAAAGGCAAGGCTTTGGGGGACATAGGAGTAGTTTTGGGAGTGGTAGCGGGTTTTGGAAACGCGGGAAGTCCTTGGTGTGCATGGTTGTGGTTTGTGGCTCATGTCGCCACTGTGTCTCACGCGTCTCATTTGTTGTGATTATTTCCCCCACTCTATCATGTCTCCCCAACAACGTGCAGGAGTACACAGAGTGTTTCAAGTGCAATGCACCGCTCTGCACCGCATCACCGTCCGCTGCTGCAGACACGAAATCTGTGAAGCGCGAGAGCAGGGAGGGAGGCGGTGGTGGTGGTGCTGATGGTGACAACTCTTCCCTACGCTGTGTGTGGTGCCCTCGTGTGTACCACACTGGCTGTGCTGATGCGCCCAGTGAGAAAGCGAGGCCTGAATGGCAGTGCAACAAGTGTAGGGCAGCGGCGGCGGAGAGGCAAGCACGAGCTGCTGTTGCTGCGGCTGGTAAGGGTGCTGTGGAGCGGGAGGACGGGAAGCGGGAAGGGAGAGAGAGGGAGGCGCATGACAGGGAGAAGGGGAGGGAGTGGGGAAGGCAGGAGCGGAGGGAGCGGGGGGATGAGGAGAGAGGGAGCGAGCAGGGTGTGCGAGGGAGTAAGAGGGGTTGGCAGCAGCAGCAGCTGCACGGGCATCCGCTGTCCAATCCGAGAACGTTCAAGCGTCGCAGGGTGAGCGACCTTCCACACCCCACCTCCTCTCCCCCGCCCTCCTCCCTCGCGGCTGCCCGTCGGGCCGGTGCAGGCCCCGGGCAGGCAGATCCGAACAGACAGACATTCCTGGGGAGCACGAGGGAGAGGCGGAAAGCCCCCCGCATGAGTTGGTCCAGTCTGGCGGAGTCTGATGATAGTGACCAGGAGGAGAGGCCGGGTGGGGGGAAAGCGGAGGAGGCGGAGCAGCAGGAGGAGGAGGAGGAGGACGAGGAGTGTGTGCGGTTGGATGAAGATGATGGGGGTGGAGAGGAGGACGAGGAGGGAGCAGAGGTAGTGGTGGCTTCAGATGACAGTGCAGAGGACGGAGGTGCTGTGTGGGGGCGGTCAGGGCTTGATTTGGAAGTTTCGAGGGACAAGGCGGGGAGGAAGGGGGCCGTGGGTGGGGGGAAGGCGGCTGGTGGAGGGCAGAAGGTGTCAGGGGGAGGCAGGATGGCGGCGGTGGGCGGTGGGCGGATGGAGAGGCGGATTGAGAGCTTGGTGGGGGGGCTGGCGGATGGGGGGAAGGGCCGGGTTGATGCGGCGGAGGATGAGGAGGCGTCGTGGGTGTGTGCGGTGTGTGGCGATGCCGGGTACCTTCTCTGCTGCGACCTCTGCCCTCGCCTCTACCATCTCTTCTGCCTCACCCCGCCCCTCAAGGTACCCTCCTCACCCTTTCTTTTCCGGCTCCCCTCCGCTTGCCATGCTTCTGCCTGTTCTTCTCCCTTTTCCCCTCATCCTTCTTTGTTCCCCTCACAACCCCTTTCCATCCGTATCTGCGTAGTGGTTTCGTTGCATCAGCCAAGCGGTTCTTTTCCATCTCTATCCCTCACTTCACGTGCCGTCACTCCTCTCTCATCTTCTCAACTACCCTCTTCCCCCCCCCCTTTCCACCCGTCTCCGTTCTCATCCTCCACTCTTCCCCGTTCCCGTTTGACCAGAAAGCACCCAAGGGATCATGGATCTGCCCAGTGTGTACAGAGGCCTCCACTCTTGAGGTACCCTCTGAACTCACACAACTAGCCACCTATCCCACCTAGAATCAAATGCAGTGTTGTTACAAGCACCTGTTACTTTTACAATACGTTATTTTCACCTTGGGATTCGAGGACAAGTTACCTCTGAACCATGATCGCAACTCTCGATTCTGTCTCTCCCGCAGCCTCCTCCGCCCGCCCGCCACCAACTCTTGTTTTTTCTCTCCCCCTCCTCTGTGCTCCCCCCCTTCTTGTACGGCCCTTGTCCCAGATCGAGCGCATATTCGGGTGCAGGATTCGGGGCAAGCAGGAGGCTGGCGCTGTCAAGAAGGCGGGGGAGGTAGAGGGGAGCGACGAGGAGGGCAAGGGATTGGGGAAAGAGGAGAAACGGCGCCTCCTTACTGGTGCTGCGGAGGATGTAGGGGCGACGGACATGGAGGAGCAGGAGGAAAGGGAGGAGGTGGATGTGGTGACGGTTGGTGACGCTGATGAAGATGCTGGTGCTGGTGCTGATGGGCATGCGGCGGAGATTGCACGGGTGAGAGCTAAGGCAGCAGCGAGTGGGAGTGCTGTAACTGATGGAGATGCCACTGCTGAGCCTGATTCTGGTTTGGCAGGGCGGGATCTGAAGAAAGCAGGGAAAGAAGAGGGGGGGAAGGAGGATGGAGGAGCAGCAGGTGACGGGGGAGAGGGGACGAGTGCACGGACGAGAGGCAATGCGGGGAGGGGGTTGAAGGGGGAGACAGGGGCCAGTGGTGCTCGTGCCACGTGGATGGATGGTCGTGGGGAGAGCCATGGGAAGGATGAGAGGGAGCAAGGGAAGGAGAAGGCGGAGAAGGAGGAGGAGAAGGTGGGGAAGGAGAAGGGTGAGAAGGACATGAGTGATGAGAAAGTAAAGGTGGCTGGTGGGAAAGAAGGAGGCAAGGCGGGGAGTGGGGCTGAGGAGGGAGGGGAGGGGGAGAGAAAGGCAAAGGAAACAGATGGCAAAGAGAAGAAGGATGAGAAGGGAGGCAAGGAGTTGGCGAAGGCAGGAGAGACAAGCAGCAAGGACGGCGAGAAGGCTTCTGGCAAAGGCAAAGACGGGGACCAGAAGCAGCAGAAGAGCGGCGAGAAGGAGAAGGGGAAGGAGAAGGAGGGGGAAGAGGACGAGGAGGAAGAGGAGGAGGAGGAGGAGGCTGTGGTGGAGTATCTAGTGAAGTGGGCGGGGAAGGCGCATGTGCACAACACGTGGCTTTCAGAGGAGCAGGTAGCAGCGCTGAACCAGCGCAAGCTGGACAACTACCGGCAACGCCACGGGCGCGTGCCACTGTCTCTCATGGAGGAGCAGTGGAACCACCCCCACCGCATCATCGCCCACCGCTTCCTCTCCCGCCCGCGCCTGCCGTCTAAAGCCAAAGGCGGGGGCCGGGCAGGGGCGAGTGCGGCACGCGGAGGAAAAGGGGCGCAGCAGCAGCAGCAGAGGCAGCAGCGGGAGGTGCTGGTGAAGTGGTGTGGACTACCATACGACGCATGCACGTGGGAGGACGTGAACAGCCCTGCCATGGTCGCCAACCCCAAGGTCCTCCAAGCCTATGAGACCTTCGAGCGCATGGCCAGGGCCCCACCCACCCCCTCTGTCCCGCGGAAACCCTCAGCCGTCCCCGATCTGAAGGAGCAACCGAGTAACCTTGCAGGAAAGCTGTTCCCGCATCAGCTGGAGGCGATCAACTGGCTGCGCCGCTCCTGGGCGCGGCGGCGGAATGTGATCCTGGCGGACGAGATGGGGCTGGGGAAGACCATATCAGCAGCGTCATACCTGTCGTGTGTGAAGACAGAGCTCAAGGTGCCTGGGCCGTGCCTCGTGCTCGTGCCGCTCTCCACCATGCCCAACTGGTCTGCAGAGTTTGCCGTGTGGGCGCCGCACCTGAACCTCGTGGAGTATCACGGCAGCGCCAAGGCGCGTGGGGTTATCCGTGACTTTGAGTTCTTCGCTTCCGGGGATGCAGACGGGGGCGGCGGCGGCGGCGGGGGGGGGAGGGCGGGTGGGGAGAAGTCGCGGGGGGCGGGGGGTGGGAACCGGCGGTACCGGTTCCACGTGATGCTGACGACGTTTGAGATGGTTCTTGCCGATACATCTGTTCTGCGCGCGATCCCATGGGAGGTGCTGATAGTGGACGAGGGGCACCGGCTGAAGAACAACGAGAGCAAGCTGTTCACGCTGCTCAACACCTTCTCCTTCAACCACCGCGTGCTGCTCACCGGCACGCCGCTGCAGAACAACGTGGGCGAGATGTACAACCTGCTCTCCTTCCTGCACCCCTCCGACTTCCCGTCGCTCTCGGCGTTCAAGGAGCGGTTTGCGGCTATGGACGCGGCGGGGCAGGTGGCGGAGGTGCAGCGCATGGTGGCGCCGCACATGCTGAGGCGCCTCAAGCGCGAGACCATGAAGCACATCCCGCCCAAGGAGGAGCGCGTTGTGCCCGTGGAGCTCTCCGTTGTGCAGGTGCAGGGGGGAGGGAGGACAGGGAGGGTGGATACTGGGCAGGAGGGTGGTGGGAGGAAGGGATGGGGGGTTGAGTGGGGGAAGGGAAGGGGCACTGATATGGAGTTGTGATTGTGCGTTTCGCTGTTTCTGCTTGTCTCCTATTATGGTCTTATAATCATATCCTTCTGTTCCTGTTATGATGTATGGCGTGGTTATTTTGCACCCCTGCACTGATGCATGCCCACAATACCCACTATGCCATGTGCTGCGTGTGTACGTGTGTGTTTGTGTGCGTGCTTGTATGCATGTATGCGTGCATGTGTGCATGTGTGCATGCGTGCATGCGTGCATGTGTGCATGCGTGCATGTGTGCATGCGTGCATGTGTGCATGCGTGCATGTGTGCATGTGTGCATGTGGGGGAGAGCAGGCGGAGTACTATCGGGCATTACTGACGAAGAACTATCAGGTGTTGCGCACGGGCAAGGGCGGCCACCAGTCCATGCTCAACATCGTCATGCAGCTGCGCAAGGTGCGTCTCTGCCCCACCCACACGCCCGCTACAGCCATACACAATCTAATCTTTTCCTTTCATTGGATAAGGGTGTGTGGGAAGGATGACAACGCTTGTAGTTTGGTGCTATGTTCATACAAGCCAACCTCTATCCTCCTCCCTGCCCCCTCTGCACAACCCCCACACCACCCCCCACACCAATTTCTTCCCCCCCTTTTTTCGCTCCTCTTTCCCCTATCTCTCCCCCCTCACTCTCCCCCTCCCCGTCCGCCAGGTGTGCAACCACCCATACCTGATCCCAGGCACGGAGCCCGTGGTGGGAAGCATGGAGTCGCTCCAGGCAGCGCGCGTGGCAGCGTCAGGCAAGCTGCAGCTGCTGGACCGCATGCTGGAGCGCCTGAGAGCGGCGGGGCACCGCGTGCTCATCTTCTCCCAGATGACGCGCCTGCTAGACATTCTCGAGGAGTATTTGGCTGTGAAGTTTGGCCCGCGGACTTATGAGAGGGTGGATGGGAGCGTGGGCGTGGCGGAGCGGCAAGTGGCGATTGCAAGGTTTAATAAGGTGGGTGGGGTGCGGTGGGCTGGAGTGGGGGTGGGATGGGAGCTGGTTTGGGATGGGTTGGGGTGGGGTGGGTTGGGATGGGTTGGGGTGGGAGCTGGTTGCCTGTGTTTATCATGATCCCGTCAACCTCCCTGTTATCCCATATTGTCTCACCCTTTAGTGTGCTTTCCTCCTCTCCCCCATCTGCTCCTACCTTTGGTCCCTCATGCACCCGTTCAATCCCCTCTTCTCCCCCCACCCGCCCTCCCTGTTCTCCCCCGTCTCCCCTTCCCCCCTCCCCCGCCCGCCCTCTCCCCCCTCTCCGCGCACTTTCATGCACAGGACATGTCGCGGTTTGTGTTCTTGCTGTCGACGCGGGCGTGTGGGCTGGGCATCAACCTGGCGACGGCGGACACGGTGATCATCTACGACTCCGACTTCAACCCCCACGCCGACATCCAGGTGCGCTCCTTCGCCCAACCAACCAACCGCTCGCTTGCCACGCCCGCACACTCCAAGGGGGGAATGGGGGGGCTAGGGTGGGAGGTGCGAGATGGAGTAGGCTGTGGGTTTGGAAATGTGGGCTGGTGTGGGGTGTGGGTGTCATTCTTGCCTGTGGCGCTTCATTGGCTGCTTGTTAAATGACGGAGGTGTCGTCACTCCTTGCCCCACCACTCAATATCGCGCGACCTTTCAGACCGTCTCAAACTGCCATTGATTTCGGACTCCCCCTCCCTTTCCCCCGCTTCCCACCCTTCTCCCATTCTCCCTTTCTCCATTCCCCTTCTGCGTTCTTCCCTTCTCCCCTGATTCCCTCCCTTCTTTCGTTCTCCCCTTCCCTTCTCCCTTCTCCCTTCTCCCCTCTCCCTGTTCTTCCCTTCTCCTTCTCCATTCCCTCTCCCCGCCACTGCCAGGCCATGAACAGAGCGCACCGCATAGGGCAGTCGAAGAGGCTGCTAGTATACCGTCTAGTTGTGCGCGCGAGCGTGGAGGAGCGCATCCTACAGCTGGCCAAGCGCAAGCTGCTCCTGGACCACCTCCTCTCCGCCTCCAACCCCGGTGGCGCCGCCGGCGGCGCTGCTGCTGCCGGTGGTGCGAGCAAGTCGGGCAACGCTGGGAACGTGAAGGAGTTGCAGGATATTCTGCGATGGGGCGCGGATGAGTTGTTTGAGGAAGATGCTAAGGTGGATGTGGAGGGCGGGGAGGAGAGGGGGAAGGGGGAAGGAAGGGAGGGGAAGGGGAAGGGTGAGGGGGCAGGGAAGGACGGGGTGAAAGAGGGTGGGGAGGAGGAGGGGAAGGAGGAGGAAGGGGAGGGAGGTGAGGGGCAGGTGAGGAGGAGTCGACGAGTGTTGGGGCAGAGTGAGAAGGGGAAGGGCGATGGGGAGGCAGAGATGACTCCTCTTGCGTCCGCTGCTGCTGCTGCCGCCGCTGCCGCGGCTGCCGCTGTTGCTGCAGCTGCTGCGGGGGAGGCGGGAGGGGGCGCAGGTGGCAAGGAGGAGAAAGCAGGGGAGGAGAAGGGCAAGGAGGGGGACAGCGATGAGGTGGAGGAGGTGAAGGGAGAAGGGGACGGGACAACTGACGCCAGTGCGGCCGCAGCAGAGGCAGTGGCGGCAGCAGGAGGAGGGACGTTCGATATGGGCGAGCACAAGAAGGGGCGCAAGGACCGGAGCAGTTTAGGGAATGTGTATGGTGACACGTGTCACGAGGGCGGGCGGCGCAAGCTGCAGTGGGACGAATCGGCGATCTCAAGGCTGCTGTGCCGCACGGTGGCAGAGGGGGCGCATGGGGAGGAGGAGGCTGGGGAGCCACTGCTGGGGTCCATCAAGGTGGGCCTTCTGACTCGGTTGACTTGGCTGATTCGATTGACGTTGCTGGCTCTCATGCTGCTGTTGATTCGACTATTCTGTCTAGGCTGAATTGATGCAAGGCACTTTGACTTGCCTTCCTCTGGCTCCTCTCCATCTTCCCCCCTCTCCCTCCCTCCCCCTTCCCCTTTTTCACGTGGGATGTGATGTGAACAGGCGTGGGCATTTGAGGAGGCGGATGAGGAGGTGGAGGAGGAAGCGGGCGAGGAGGAGGGGGTGGTGGAGGTGGAGGGGGAGGAAGGGGGGGAGGAGGCGGTGGCAGCAGCAGCGGGGAAGAAGGGCAAGGGGCACAAGGAGCACAAGGACGAGAAGGAGGACGCGTCTGGCGAGTGGGAGAGGCTGCTCAAGAACCGGTTTGTGTGGCTTAGGGCTTAGGGCAGGACAGGGCATGGGAGGGCATGGGACGGGGTGGGATGGGATGGTTCAGGAATGGCATGGCATGACCTGGGATGGCATGCGGTGTGATTATCATGTGACGGATTGTTCTGCTGTGAGAGGACGACTCTTGAAACCTCTTCTCCCGCCCACTCCACTCTCCTTGCCTGCCCTCCTGTCTCTTCTTCCTGCGTTTCTCCTGCCCCCGTCCGTCCATTCCCATCGTGCCCATACTCCCCTGCCGTATCCCCACTCCCCGTCTCAACCCCTTCCTAACTTCCATACGGCCCCAACCCCCACCTTCCGTCCTGTATCCCACCCTTTTCCCCGGGCTGTTGTTGCATGGCAGGTGGGAGCAGATGCAGGTGGAGACGAGTGCGCTGCTGGGGCGCGGCAAGCGCACGCGGCGGCCGGTGTCGTACAACGAACAGGGCATTGTGGCCGCCATGGCTGCTGCTGATGCCGCTGCTCTCGCTGCTGCCGCTGCTGCCTCCAAGGTCAGGAGTGTTGCATGCAAGCACGCACACCTGCGTGCACAGAAACATACGTACAGGCCACCCGCACCCACACCAATGCATGCGCACTTCCACAGGCTGGGCCTTTTTTCTTTTCTCCCTCACGTCCAGCCCTCTTTCTCATTCTGCCTCCATTGCCCCCCCTCCCTTCCCGACCTCTTCTCCCCCTGTATCCCTTGCTCCACTGTCCTGTCTGCCTCATCCTCATTCCCTTCCGTTCTTCTGTGTGTGTGCATGCATGTGCATCTCTTTTTGTCCGCCTGTGTGGAGAGATGGCTTGAGAGGGTGCCTTTGCATTGGAATGAGGAGTGTTGGGGGTGGGGATGCATGTGCGCATGTGTGTGTATGCGTGTGCATGCATGTGTGTGTGTGTGTGTGGGGGGGGGGTGGGGGTGTGGGTGTGGGTGTGGGTGTGGGTGTGGGTGTGGGTGTGTGGGTGTGGGTGTGGGTGTGGGTGTGGGTGTGGGTGTGGGTGTGGGTGTGGGTGTGGGTGTGGGTGAATATGTTGCCATGCAGGAGGAGCATGAGGAGGAGGAGGAGCCAGCAAGAGAGCTATCAGCAGCTGGAAAGGCACATAGAGAGAAATGGCAAGTGCTCCATCCACCCTTCTGCTCGTGCTCCTCTGCTCGTGCTCCTCTGCCCGTGCTTCTCGGCCATTTGCTACACCATCGTCATCAGCATCTGGCTGTTTACTGCCTGCTGCAACTTCCCTATTCCCAACTCTCATTTCTCTGCTACTATCTCTTGACTCTCTCAAGTTACCCTGTCCTACTCCTCCTCCCTCCTCTCTTGCCACCCACTGTCGCCCTCCCCACACCAGGCTGAAGCTGAGGCAGCGTCAGAAGGAGCGCATAGCCAACCGAGGCAAGACGCCTCCCCCCAAGCCAAGAACCACCCATGCCTCTTCCAAACGGCCCCACCACCCATCAGCCACTCACACCGCCTCAACCCCCTCCCATGCGGCCGGCAAGCCAGGCTTAGCTGGTCACGCACACAAGGGAGCAGCGGCAGGAGCAGGAGGAGCAGGGGCAGCTGGCAAGTCTGGCACTGGAGCTGCTGCTGCAGGCGCAGCAGCAACAGCAGCAGCAGGAGCAGGAGGAGCAGGGGGAGCAAGCGGAGTGAGTGGGAATGCAAGTGGGGTGATGGGCATGGAGGGCAGGAGGGAGTCTCACATGGTGGGCAAGGTGCCGGCTGAATGGTTCTGGAATCACCCCGGAGCTGCTGGTGCCGGCAAGCCTGGCACAGCCACCACAGGAGCAGCAGCAGCAGCAGGGCAATGGCGTGCGGGGGGGGCGAGTGGGGCAGGGAACGGCACAGGGCAGGGGGGAGCAGGGGCCATGGCGCATGCAGGCATGGGAAGAGCTGGGGAGAAGACCGAGCCTCGACCTTTCAGTCCGAACCAGCATCTTGGGCTCGGGAAGTCAAGCATGGGTGGAGGTACGGGGGGAGCAGGAGCAGGGGCACGGGCAGCGGCAGGGGCAGGGGCTGGGGCAGGAGGGGCGGGTCAAAACCCTTCCACAGGGGGCCCTCAACGGCTGTATGTTGACTCCTCGTCTCTCTCCTTCCTTCCCCGCCCCCCGGTTCTGCGGAATTACGGGGGTGAAGCGGCGGGGGCAGGCGTGCCGAATCCAGCTCTTTCGGCTGCTGCTGCACATGCAGCAGCAGCGGCGGCGGCTGCAGCAGCAGGCAGCGCGCGCGGAGGCAGCAATGGGGCGCATGCAGCTGGGAAAGCCGGGGGAGGAGGTGGAGAGGGTGGGGGGAATAGTCGTCTGTTGAATACTCCCAGCACGTTTAAGTTCGGCGGGAATGCTGTTGCTGCAGGCAAGGCAGGTAGCGCAAGTCCTATGGCACAGCAGCACCAGCAACAGCACCATCAGCAGCACCAGCAGCAGCATCACCACCACCAGCAGCACCAGCAGCACCAGCACCAGCACCAGCACCAGCACCAGCACCAGCACCAGCACCAGCACCAGCATCAGCAGCAGCAAGGGAGCAGACACGCACAACACGGCCGTCCTAGCAGCATGCCGTCACAGTCACCGTCGCCATCACCTAACCCGGCTCTCGGAGGCAAGCCATCAGGCGTGCACACAACAGACGCCTCTCACATGGCAAGGTCAGCCGGTGCTGCTGGTGCACCCGGGGCCATGGACAGCAGCACAGCAGCAGGCATGGCTAGCGCCTCGTCCCCCCAGCAGCAGTCCACTGGCAAGGCGCCGCTCCTCTTCCTCCCCAACTTCCCCAGCTTCCCCTACCCCCACCTCCCGCCCTTCTCCCGCACTCCTGGGCAGCAGTCCACGTCCGTGCAGCCGCCTCCTCTGCCGTCCTTTGCTCACATGCCCACTCATGATCAGTCGGGGATTATGGGTGGTGTGGGCCCCGGTGGGAAGGGTGTCTGGATGAATCCACAGCCGCAGCAGCACCAGCACCAGCAGCAGCAGCAGCAGCAGCAGCAGCAGCAGCAACAGCAACAGCAGCAGTACCACCACCAGCAGTACCAGCAGCAGAGGCAGCAGCAGCAGCAGCATGGCGCACAGATGGCAGGAAAAGGGGGACCGTTGAAGTCACCCCCTCCTGATGCAACTCGAGGGTCGGCAGTGGGGAAGGCAGAGGAGCAGAGGCAGGCCAAGGGGCAGAAGCGCACAGATAAGCAGAGTCAGAAAGACACCCCAAAGGAAGGCCAGAGAGGCAAGGAAGGCGAGCAGGCAGGGCCGCAGCAGCAGCAACAACAACAACAGCAGGGCAGTGGCGGTACTGCTGGTGACATCAGCAGCGGCGCGGCAATCAACGTGGAGAAGCTGAGGTACCAGAACGTGTCGTTCCCGCAGCGCATATACACGGTGATTGGGGTCCCCATAGGGCCCAGAGGCGCGGGGGCTGTGCCTGCTTCTGCGGATATAATCGCTGCTGCCACTAAGGAGTTGCTGGCGGCGGGGGGGACCCCACAGCCGCGCGCCTCTGCTTCCACTCCTGGTGCTGCTGCTGGGACTGCTGCTGCCGGTGGTGCTGGCGCTGCTTCTCCCGCTGCTACTGCTGCAGCAGCAGGTGCTCAGAATGCTGCGCTGCCAAAATCTGCTGGTGCCGCCGGTGCAAGGGGTGCAATGGGGGCAGCGGCAGATGCGGATATGCGTGCAGCGAATGGGTTGGGTAAGGCGGGTGCGGAAGAGAGGGACCCGAGGGAGCAGCGTGAAGGGGGGGCTGTAGCACGTGATGCAGGTGCTGCTGGGAGGTCGGTTGCAGGGAAGGAAGGGAGACGAGGTGGGGATGAGCGAAGCGCAGAGGCGAAAGGAGGGTACCGGGACTGGCTGGTGGAAGGGACGGAAGCAGCAGCTGCTGCAGCAGGAGAAGCAAGGGATAAGGACAGACGAGTTAGCGTTGCTGGTGCTGGTGGCGAGAAGGCAGCGCTCGGGAAGGAAGTGGAGCAAGGGAGCAGGGCAGTAGGTGCAGGACGGCAGTGGGGCGAGGAGGAGCTGGATGCGCTGTGGATGGGTGTGAGGCGGTATGGGCGAGGGCAATGGAAGGCTATTGTGAAAGACAGAAAGTTGAAGATGAGAGATGGGCGGACAGTGGCGGAGGTAGAGGAGAGGTGGGCTGAAGAAGAGAGGAGGGTTCTCGGGTGGACTGTGGCTGAGCAAGAAAGGAGAGGGGAGAGGGAGAGAGGGAAGAAGCGAGAGGGGAAAGAGTTGGAGGTTGGGGAGGAGGAAGCAGATGACGTTATAATGCTGGGGGCTGATGAGGTGCATAGGGAGAGGAGCAGGCGAGGGGGAGGCGTTTCTGGAAAGGGGCGAGATGTGCAGAGGAGGGATGCTAAGAGGAAGGTTGGCGAGATGGAGGTGGAGGAGGGGGACGGCAGGGAGAGTGGGGAGGATGAAAGGGAGCGTGTGGTAGGGAAGAGGGCACGGGGAGAGGGGCAAGGGGAAGGGAGAGAGGTGAGGTCCAATGAGGGGGTGGCAGTGAGTGAGGGGGGGTATGAAAAAGAAAAGGGTGGAGAGAGGAGGAAGGAGAGAGTAGTGGGATCAGCCGAATGTGCAGAGAAACTAGATCATGGTGGGTTTGGGGGTGCAAGAGAGCAAGTTGCAAGCAAGCAAGATGCAGGTGGAAAGAGCGGAGTAGGGGACATGAGTATTGCTGGTGCTGGTGCTGGCGCCATTGTTCCTTATAGCGAGAGCAGGGAGGGCGGGGAGAGGGAGAGTGGGGTAGCAAGCAAGGGGAAGGGTGTAGGTGCGGTCAGGCAGGGTGGAATGGAAAGGGTGACTAGCAGTGAAGGTGGACTGTACGCCAGGGATGACATTGGGATGATCGAGGAGGAGGAGGAGGAGGAGGAGGAGGAGGAGGAGGAGGAGGAGGAGGAGGAGGAGGAGGAGGAAGAGGAGGAAGATGATGTTCAAGTCATCCCACCGTTTGGGCCCTCTGCTCCTGCATCTGCCGCTGCTGCTGGTACTGGTGGTGCTGCTGCGGCTGCTGCTACTGCCACTGCTGCCAGTGACAGGAAAGGCAGGGAGGCACAGGAGGCAGGGAAGGGGGGATGGGGCACAGAGGATAGGGCACAGCAGTCCCAGGTGCATGTCTCACGAGGGGTCACTTCACCGCATGGCACCACTTTGCACTCCTCGTCTCATCACCTCCTGTCCTCTCCCAAGCTTTCCTCTCCTCTCTCCGTGCCGCATCACAGCGCCAACCAGTCTGCTGGCCACCTTCTGTCACCTCTTCTGTCCCTTCCTGCTGTGCCCTCGCCCTCACAAACTCCCCTAACACCCTTGGACTCTAAGCAGCAGCAGCAGCCTAGCTCTCCCATGCACCCATCTGCCAAGGTAGAGCATGCGGATGTGCCAGGGCGGGCAGTGAGCCACGCACCCATTGCATCCCTCGCTCCCAATCGCTTTGGTCCCTCCAAGATCTCCACGCTCATTTCCTCTCCACCAGCCCCCAAGCCCCCCCATTCAATGCAACCATCCAATTCTGCTGCCACGGCCACGCCGACCATGCCCACCGCTTTCCCTCCCGCTTCCGCTCTAGCCCCACCGCTCTCCACCGCGATCACTTCTCACTCTTCTAGGCCCGCATCAGGACCGCTTCCCCCGGTGCCTCCGGGTTACTCCTTCCTCCCTCCTCCCCGCCGCTCCTCTGCCCCCGCGCGCCCCATCGCCTCATCTCAGCTCACTGCCATTTCAGTGGCATCCAGGCATCTTTCTGCTGTGTCCACACCAGTGCTGCCGAGAGCTGCTTATGTGGCGCCGCTTGATTGGTCGCCGCGCCCGCTGCCAAGAATCCGCAAGATGAAGAAGTTCTGGAAGCTTCAGAGAAGCCGTGCTGCTGCTGGAGCGGCAGCTGTTGTGGCTGCAGGTGAAGCAAGGGGAAATGGAGTGAGCATTTCAAGGCAGGGACCAGGCGGGGGGGGCATAATTCCTGTACATCCTGCTGATGCTGATGCTGCAGTGGCAGCACCTGCACCACTTACTGGGTTAGCAATGCCCTCTGCGTATGCAAATGTGGCATGTGATCAACAACAATGAATGCGCTTGACTTTTGTTGGGCTTGGTCTTTTGTTCGGTGCAATAGATTACGGTGCTGCTAAAATGTATCCTCTGTTTGAAACCTGGTAAAGAGTTTAGTCCATTGAATGAACTTATCAATGGTGCAGACAGTCCTGGAGGTCGCCCTGTGCATGCACAGTCATGTCGGAGATTCCGCGCTTGAGCCCAGGCGTGACGAGTCCCATCGCTCTCATTGGACCGCGTCACTCCACAATCACCGCATCGATGGCGTGTGCCCAACATTCGCAACGTTCGTTCATCACGTGTTTCGCTGCATGGGTCGCTCAACAAAAAACAGAACACTAAAACGTACTGCAACGGACTTCCTGAACCAGGTCAAACAAAGATTGGGCACATGGTGACCTTCGCTTCGTTCCCCACCTGCAAGTGGCTCCGTCCAACGAGCTTGCGAAACGAAGGGGTCGAAGCAGAGCGAAGCCTCACCTCGCCAGGAACTGCGTGGAGGGATTTCTTCTCTGGCCTATGCCCCCTTCTCGAGCTCGACATCCAGTCCATTTGCGCTGGCCTCTTTCATTTCTATCTGTCAGGTCCAAATTTTATTTCACTTGCATTTCCGCCTGACAACTACTCGTGTTTGAATTCAAGCTTCAAGAGGACTTGAGCTGTATTTTTCCAGACTCTAGATCCGTCCGATACGCGGTCCACCATGGCGGGTGCAGATCCAGTGGTGCCGGAAAAGATGTCGGCCTGGCAATACTCAAAGCGCGGCGGCGGCGCAGAGGCTTTGCATGTAAGAACGCGCTGCTGTTTCGTCCCACATCTTCCTATCAATTCCAAGTTACTCTTTCATCTTTCTAGGGCGTCAGATCTGAAAACATATACTGATTTGTCTCGTTGCACCGTCAGCATCACAAAACAAAACAGTACATCTCCATCCTACTCACCGCCCCTTCCCCGTTACACACCCCTCTCCATCCCACCCCACCCTTCCGTTTTTCGCCTCATCAATCGTAGCTGAACGAGAACGCGCCAGTACCGAAGCCCGGCAAGGGCGAGGTGCTGGTGAAGGTGAGCGCGGCGAGTATCAACCCCGTGGACTGGAAGATTCAAAACGGCTACATCCCCATCTTGCCGCTGCGTTATCCGGCCACTCCTGGTAATCCCCCTCTCCTCCCTCTCTGCTCGCAAACATCTTGCTTTCCTTCTCCCGGTTTTCCTCCCTTTGTCTTCCCTCCGTCCCTCACTCCCTCCCTCTCTCGCTCCTCCCACCCTTCCTCCCTCCCGCACTCGTTCCTGACCCGTCCTCCATCTCCATCCGTCCCTGGCTGTGCAGGGATGGATATTGCAGGTGATGTGGTGGGGCTGGGGCCAGGAGTGACCAAGTACAAAGTGGGCGACAGTGTCTTCGGCTCATCTTCGCCTTTCGTGAGTACTTTACCCGCCTCCCAATTTCCGTGCTTCCATGTTCCCTCTCACCTCCACTCCTCACAAGCTTGTTTGGTGTTTTATCATCTTCGTCTGCTGAAAATTGCATCAATGTGGTGATCCCCGTGTTCGTTTGTTCCAGAAACTGGGTGCGCTGGCACAATATGCTGTGCTCCCAGCATCAGGTAGCGCTCCCAGGCCCGCTGCCGTCCCCCCTGAAGTCGCAGCTGCCCTTCCAATCGCGGGCGAGACAGCCCTTCAGGCCCTGCGTAATTCCGCCGGCTTGCCTCTGCCCTCCACTCCTGCCGATGACGTAAAGGGCGGCTACAGTGGGCGTGTGTTGGTGGCGAACGCATCAGGAGGCGTGGGGCATCTGGCTGTGCAGCTGGCCAAGCTGGCAGGAGCACATGTGACAGCCACCGTGGGAGCACGCAACTTTGAATTTGCGAAAAAGCTGGGAGCGGATGAGGTGCTGGATTACAAGACGGAGGCTGGGCAGCGCCTGTCTGCCTCCGCTGCTACCCCACTGCCCCCGGCTGAGCTGTACAATGCAGTGGTTGACGGCACTAGCGGCCTGTCTGTTGCCACTGTGGACCGGGTGCTTCCTCCAAACGGTAAGTGGTTGCACCTCACGCCACCACCTTCAATTATGGCTCTGGGGTTGTGGCGATCCATTGCTTTTCGCCCCAAGAAGGTGTACCCCATTTTGATGGAAGGCAAGGGCTCGGATCTGGAGGTTCTGGCAAAATTGGTGGTTGATGGGAAGCTGAATGTGACGCTGGATGCTACAGTTCCTTTTGAGAAGGCCAGGGATGCATGGACACGGAGCATGGAAGGCCACGTGGTGGGGAAGGTGGTTGTGAAAATGGACTGACCAGTTCGGTATACTGCTTAGATGCGTGATGCATGTGGTACTTAAGACTGCTGGGAGAATGTTTTGTTACTCTCTTGTACAGCATTACGGGTTTCCATTAGGAGCCCTTATTGATACCGTTTTGTTACATTTTCACATCAGGCGTACTATTGAGATGATGGAGGCTCTACCTTGGTTGTGTAGGGCAAGACAACCCGAGGTCACAGGTTTAATGTTGCACATTGAGCATTTCTCGTATGAACCTTTTTGTTTAGGTGTGAGAAGGTAGCCCTGGCTTTTTGCTTTAGGATATACCACAGCCCATCCATACAGGGATGTTTCGTAAGATTTACTGGACGCCGTGCCTGATGTCTCAGCTGACAACAATGAACCATCCCTGCTGGCCGTCCGTTTTCATCATCGGTCTGACTTTTCGCCAGACCCCGATTCGCTTTTCCCTCCGACCTGGAAGGAGCAAAACAAACCCAAGGTCCTCGCCTCATCAGCTCTGTGCCGCGCGTCACTGCTGGGGAACTTTGCCAACGATATGTCGCTCACTCTCAGCTTCGCTGAGCGACAAGGATGGCGAGGGGCAGGCGAAGAAATGTTTATGTAACAATAGCCATACATTCCCAAGGTTCGACCCATCGGTTTCGTGTGTGGTGGAAATTCGTTAGGAACTGTGATGAGAGTGTGTGACTAACCTGCTTTTCCCTGTGCTTGACAAACCTGATTTTGACTTCCCTTCCTTGCTACGCACTGCTGCCATCGTTCAGCCACACAGCAGATGCGACACCTTCTCATCTCACCACTGCCTCGCATTTTCAATGTTTGCACCCTGCAACCGTGTCCTCGTACCTAACGAAACACTAATGGACTTTCGAGTCTGCTACGTTTGACCAAGCCGACTTCTCTAGCGTTCGTTCCTTTGCAAATGCCGCTGGGTACCTCCGTTGCACCTTTGAACTTGAATTCCACCAACAGAACACATCATTGTTCTTGCGAAGCTCTTAGCACACTTACCCCGAAGCTGTTAGCACCCCTATGTCAAGGGACCCTGTGACATCCTTTTTTCTCTCAAGAACTGTCCCCCTCGGCGTTATTGATACCCTAATTGTCCGTCGTAGAACCATTGCGATAGTGGTCGTTATTGTCGATCCCCGAAACATACCAGCCCAGTGCAGCGAGGGGGTTCTTGACTCCATGTTAATATTCAGGCCGGTTCGCACGTGAGCTGCGCTGCGTAACGTAGACGTTAGCGGTTCGACTTGGCCGGATCGCATCCAGCTTCTACAAATAAAAGCTCTTCCCTACAACCTCATAGGTTTTTTAATTCCTTGGCCCATTCTGACCAGCTTATGGAATCTTGATTCCGGTGCACCTCAGGAATTTCGACTGAAGCCTTTCCACGCATCCGTTTCACAGAGTAGCTTAGTATCCGCCATGACACCACCCGAACGAGATCTGATTGCCCTGACCCGGGCTATGAGAGGTGTCACGAACTGCTCATTCCGTTGTAGCACATGCCGTTCGAGCATGCACTAGTGCGAACACCGTGAGCAGTAGTGCAACCGCAGTGCCAGCCGTCGTCTGAGCAGGGGGAGCAGGGGAAGTGGGCGAGCAGGGAAAGCAGGGGGACGGGGGAGCAGGGGAAGCGACATAATGGGTTCGTGCTTCTCAAAGCCTCGGGTGGAGGGAGGCGATGCTTCTTCTGGGAACGGAGGGAAGAAGGTTCAGAGCAGCAGAACGTCTGGCAAGAAGCCTGATGTTGAAACGGCAGCACGAGGGAGCTCGACCGTCGAGCAGCAAGGCCAACACGTGCAGAAAATGAACGCCGAGGCAAAGAATGGCAAAGTGTTTGCGCAGCTAGCGTCAGCTGCGATATCTACCGCGGAAGCAGAACTAGCAGCAGCAAGAGAAGCAGGTAGTAGCAGTGGTGGTGTTGGTGCTGCTGCTAATGTTGCTGCTGCTGGCAGAGCGGATATGGGCCGCGAGGACGAAGCAGAGGAGTTTGCAGATGCGCCCTCCAGGCAGGACTCGGGGGAAGACGAGCTGCAGAGCGCCAGAGAAGGTACGCTGAATTCAGTATAGCTGGTCTCGTGAATCAAACGGAGCGAATTTCGTTCATTCTAGCTGTGATCTCTGTTGACGTGGTCATGGCCTGTAGCCCTGTAGCGACACTTCCTGTGCTCTCTCTTCTACCGTTCTTGTCTCAGACTCAAGCTCGCAAGCAGCAAGTGGAGCGGATGTAGAAATCAGTGTGACTGACCGCCACGTCCCCACCATGGCGAGTGGTCCTGGTCCGGGGTCTGGTCTGCCAGAGATTCGGCCTGCTCTTGACGTTCCTCCCACGGCAGAAGCATCGGCGGAAGACGCAAGGGGCCGTCAGAAAACTGCAAGCAGTGTGGATGTAGAAGGAAGAGCGGAGGAAGGGGTTCAAGCGGAGGGGGCGAGGCGAGAAGGGGCACCAGCTGGGTCAGAGGCGTACAGCGGGGAAGAGATGAGATTGGACGGTCCAGATGGAGCTGTGGAAAGGAATTCCAGTGGCAGGAGACCTCTATCTGGAGAGAATCAAGCGTGGCACAGGAAGGGCATTGCTGCTGGCACAGCAGGCTGGACTCGTAATGGCAATGAACAGCAGCAGCAAGACAGCCGAAGCAAGGGAGGAGTGAGAGGCGACGATGGAAGGGCTGTGGCGCAACAAGTAGCAAAGGCAACTCCAGCACCAGCAAACCCAGCAGCAGCAAGATCAGCATCAGCATCAGCAGCAGCTGTATCAGCTTCCGATGCTGTCAGAGCCTCATCAAATCTGCTCGGCCCCGTGCTGTCTGATTCCGCTGCTCTTGATTACTATGGACCGTCCTTGCTCAAACAAGGGTCACGGAGGGGCAGGAGCAGAGAGTCCAGCAGGCGGGGTGATGGGGGTGGCAAGGGCTGTCTGCAGTATGAGGCGAGTGGGAGTGACAGCGAGGAGGGGGGTATGCATGCAGGGCGGATGGGAAAGGGCAGGACTAGGGTTTGCTTGGGTGGCGAATATGGACTGGATGGGGATGGGCCGGATGGGTATTGCTTTCCCAGGAGGAAGAGAAAGGCGAGTCGGCAGAGTAAGAGCGCAGTGGAGAGCGGTGCAGAGAGAGATGGTAGGGTTGCGAATGAAGGGGGACTTGTGGGAAGTAGCACCAGAGGGAGAGGAGAGGTGTATGGTCAAGTGCAGGAGTGTAATGGAGGGGCACGTGGGAATGAGGAGGGCTTGATGGTACAGGTGGTGAAGAGAAGACGAGGACGAGAGAAAGAGAAGGAGGAGAAGGAGAAGCAGAGGGTTCCTGTGAATGCAAACGACGGGCTTAACGTTTTCATGATGACCCGTAAGTTCTCTTGCTGCTTGCATTGCCTAGCTTTGCTCCTGTGCTTGCTTCCTCGCTTCCTGCAATCCTCTCATTTTCCTTGTTCCAATGTTCCTAAGACGTTGTTAAGCTTCTTGACGCAATCCTGTTTCCCCCTTGCGACAGAGAAAGGCACGAGGGGAAAGAAGGGTAGTAGTCAGCGCAAACCAAGGCTAGCAGCTGGTGGCGAAGAAGCAGCAACAGCAGGGGCAGCAGGAAAGGCAGCGAAGGGCGAGCGTGCATGGTGGGGGGCGGCCCCTCCTGAGTTCGTGGATGCAAACAGCCACTCTGACGATGACTTCCAGTCTGCACGTGCTGGTACTGGCTGCTCGCAGGCTCTGCCTGCACTGTGCTCGATGCGAGGCACTTCATGTGCAGGCATTCTCTGGCATGTGATTTGTGGGCATGCGCTTGCTTGCCATGTGCATACATTGCCTTGCCTCAGTCTCTCACAATATTGATCTCAGCGCCCTGCTTTCCCATCCTCCTTTCACCCTTCCTCTACTCCTTACCATTCCGCCTGTCCCCTCCTCCCTCTCCCACATCCCACACCCCTTGTTGCTGCCCTCCACAGACACCCTGTCACAGGCGAGTTCCATGACAGCAGCTAGCCTGTGCCAGAGAGGCGCACAAGCAGGCATGATGCTGCCGGCGCAGGCAGGCAGGGCACTAGTGGGCAAGCTGCAGGAGGGCGCAGGAGCGTTGCTCACCATCCACCACTGTGACTCGCGCACTCAGCAGCAGCCCGCTACTCCCATGCTTACTCCAGGTGCGTGTGTGGGCTCGTTGGGTCTGGTCAGCCTGTGGAGTTGGGTATCGGCACACCAGTTTCTTATGTATGATAGGCAACGGCGTCTGTGTCGTCGCAATGCTATTCCCTGACTGACCCTGATGCTCGTCCTAGCATTTCTCTCCGTGAATTCCCTCATGACTCTCCATCAACCACCCACTCAGCTGAAACCCCTTACCGTTCTTATGCCAATCACCGTCCACTCTCCCCCTCCCTGCCTCACCATCACCATCACCATTACCATCGCGTTTGCAGAGGCAGATGCAGGTGGTATGAGCGTCCGTCCCTCCTCCCCCCGTCGCTCCAAGGGCCTGTCCTCCGTATTCTCAGTTGCTCGCAAGGTGCTCTCCCCTCGTGGGGCCCGCGTGTCAGCATCCTCCTCCTCTTCCAAAGCAGGTCCGTCTGCCTACACTTTCACTGCCAGCACTTATCACTTTGAATGATGTGCCCTGTTGCCATTATTTTTTGCTGACTCACGACTGAGTCTGTGCTGCCGCTGTTTGTGCTGCTGCTGCTAGCCTACTTGCTGCTCTCCTGTGCCTCATCAGCTCTGTCGTTTAAGTTATGATACTGCATTGCTGCATCAGTTTGCTGTGCTGCTGCATGCCTTATCAAGGCATGTCATGGATTTCGCATTGGAAACATGGTGCGGCAAAGTGATGCCTGGTGTGACATTCTTGGATCCCCGCTTTCCTCCCCACCACCCTGGGCTATGGCAGGCGGCAGCAAGCCATGCGTGCCGTCCTTGAGTGGGGAGAGGAGGGTTCATGGGAAGGCAGGATTAAGGAGGAGGAAGGATGGGACCGTGGGGAGGGGGGCACAGGAGCTTGGAGTGGGAGTGGAGCAGGAGGAGCAGGAGGACGAGGAGTTCCATAGTGCTGGGAGTGAGAACTCTGGTGCGTTGGCATTGTGTGTGTGGCCGGATGTTGCACATGCAAAGACAAGGCACAGATGGAAAAGCGTCTCATTTTTTACAAGCATCTTTTTCACCACTATTAAGTCACCCTTTAATCCTTGAGTTGCTGTTTCTCCCCCCCTGTCTTTCTTATCAACATTCGTACATGTGTATTCATACTTCCTATCATGCTCCAGATGAGCTGGAAGAAATGTTCAACACAGCGCCTCTGCTCCTCACCACCCCGCCGCCACACCTCCCCTCGCCAAGTGCGGGCAAGCCTGGAGATTTTTCAGAGGACGAAGGAGAGGGCAGTGGGGCGGAGCATGATTCACAAGAGGGGGCGGAGGCGGCAGAGGATCAAGAGGGAAGGCGCACCGCAACAGGCAGTTGTGGGAAAGTGGAGTCTGGGACGCGCGTTGCTGCACAAGCACAACAGCAGGCTGCCAACGTTGCTACACCTGCTGCTGCTGCCGTTGCAGCTCGCGATGATGCCAATGATGCCGGTGCCACCACCATTGGGGCTACAGCTGCTGCACCCCACCCACACCGCGCCTCCCGTTCTCCCCTCCAAACGTTTGGCGCTACGATGCTCTCTGCTGCCCGCACTGCACTCTCCCCCTCCCGCCGCTTCTCCTTCTCACCTGCCACTGCTCCTGGCCCTGCTGCTGGCACGCGGAAAGTCAGGGCATGGAGTATGGGCGGTAGTGGGGACGAGAGGGAGGTGGGTAGGTCACAGCAGAGTGGAAGTAAGGAAGGGGGTGATGGTGCAAGGATGGCGCATGGAGCGTCAGCAGCGGAATGGCTGGAAAATGAAGTTTTTGCTGTGCATTCAGATACAGTGATCAAGCCAGCCCCACCCAGCAGCCCCTCATTCACACTTTCTCAACCAGTCGCCTCCACCTCTCACTCCTCCTCCACTCACCCCCATATCCCAACCTCTCTCTCTGATCTCCATGTATCTGCCTCCGCACAACCATCCCCTCGACTCCACCTGCACATCGATTCAAATGCTGCTGATCCCACCTCTTCCTCCCGTCGCCCCTTGTCCTCTCCAAGCTCGCCCACCATTGCCCTGCACTCTTCTTCCTTCCGTTCCACATCCCCTCGCACCTCGTTTCGCCACTCCCCCTTGTCCTCTCGAACACGTGTTTGGGCAAAGCAGACACACCGGCCCTTCTCCCCTGGTTCGGCCGCACCTCGGAGGCTCTCCGATGCTTCAGGTTCGGGAGTGGAGCGGCCCCGGACCTGGTCTCTGCATCCGGAGCTGTGGAGTCGGGTGACTAAGGGAAGGGAGGGACAGGCGGAGTCGGGAGGTTCTAGAAACTTGAGGAGCAGTGGAGGTGGTGGGGGTGGTGCTGTCCCTGCTGCTGCACCCACCGCAGCAACAGCAACACCAGCATCAGCAGTAACAGCAGCAGCACCTGTGCTCTCGAACGTGAGACCACAAAACGGTGTAGCAGCAGCAGCAGCAGCAGCAGCAGCAGCAGATGCCTGTAACCCTGGCACTGCAGACGCTGTATCCCGCTGTGTGAGTGCCAGCGAGCACGCTAGCAGCCCTGTGTATGGGATGGAAGGGCGCCAACGGGGGGCGTCACTCTCCCCAATGCCCCGCACCTCCTCCACTCCCTCTTTTACCTCAGCAACTGCAGCAGCAGCAACAGCACGAGCAGGAGCAGGAGAAGCAGCAGGAGCAGCAGGAACAGCAGGAGCGGGACGAGAAGGGGCAGGAGGTGCAAGGTCACGTGTGACAGTACACGGAGGGGCAGCACGAGATGGGACAGAAGGAGAGGGCACAGCAGCAGCAGCAGCAGCAGCACAACGAGGAGGGCTGCCGCGATGGAAGTCACTTCACACATCCTTCTCCGTGCCCTCGCTGCATAAGCTCGCTCACTCCGTGGCTGCCGCTGCTGCCTCTGCTGCTTCTGCCACGCCTCCTGTCAAGACCCCCAGGCAGCACATGACAGACGCGGAGGAGGATGAGGAGGAGGAGGAAGTAGATGAAGAGGAGGACTTTGGGGCGTTCAGAGGGGTGTATTGGGAGAGGGAGAGGGAGCGGCGGCAGGAGCAACCGGCACGAGCAAGCGTGCCAGTGCGAGTGGATGCAGAGACGGCAGTTGCCAAGATGCTACTAGGTGATGATTCTTCAATCTTCATATTCTCCATTCAATCGTTTCCCCACGTTTCCTTGCACCCAACTGAATCTTCAATCTGCCTGAAGCTGCTCTTACTTCTCTCCCCTATTGGTTACCTACCTTTCCCGGACATGTATAGCCATTGTATGCATCTAACCCCGACCCTACCCCTCCCTTCTTTTCCCATCTCTCTTTTCCTTCCTCTTCCCAATCATTTCCTGTCACAGCCCCCCGCAAAGTCCTTCACATGCCTGAGCCAGGGTCGCAGCTACCACACCATGTGTCCCTCTCCCGTCCTCCTCGCCGTCGCTCCTCCCCGCTCGTCATCTCCCCCGATTCCTCTCCTGACCGTGCCTCCTGCACCTCGCCTCCCCTGTCCGCGCCACCACCCGCCCACTGCTGGATGACCATCAGCCCGGCCTGCTTGCCTGTGCGCGGAACAAGCTATTTCAGGTGTGGCAGGGGGCTATGCAGCAGGGAGCAATGCAGTTTCTCTTATTTTGTCTCTCCATTCTCATTCGACCTCGTTTCTCATGCTCTTTCGGCCCCTCGAGCACCACCACTCCCCACCCCCCATAACCCCTCCCCTTTCCTCTCTTCCCCTCCTCCCCGCCACGCTTGCCCTAACAGCACGGGTGGGAAGCAGGCAGGGCATCACATGACGCCATACACAGTGACAGCAGTGGATGTATTTCACACGCCCCACAAGCTCACCCACATTGCTCGCCTCCTTGACCTTCCTTCTGCCGCCGCCGCTGCCACAGCTGCCGCCACCGCCACCGCCCACTCCTCAGCTGCTTCCTCCCCGCGCACTGCACCCCCCGGTGCTGCTGCTGCGGCTGCCACTGGCTTAGCTTCTCGTGAAGCTGCTGCTCTTGCTGCTGCGCTGCCGCGAATGTTGCTGATTCACGTGCAGGCAAGTGTGGGAAGGGTGCTACCTGTAGCTCCCTCGCCCCGAACCTATTCCCTCTTCCCTTACCTCATCAGCCTCTTCTGAATCCAATTCGCCTGCTCCCGTTTGCCTTTCCTTGCACTAGCCCAACCACCTTTCCTATCCCAACAATCCCCTCTATTCAATCCAAATCACCCTCCCTTCTCCGCTCCGCTTTCTCACCCATCCACTCCCCTCGCCCTCACATCCCACTGCCCCCATCAGGTGCCCATCCACACGCCGCGCTCTCACATCCCGCTGCTGTCATCTGATTCACATGCATCAGAGGGGTTTAGCCTCGTGCTCTATGCGCACCTCTGCCCCTCATTCTTCTCATCCGCGCCCCCCCACATGCTGGCGCTGCTCCGGGTGAGTTAGCCCGCAGGCTTGCTGCCGGAGGCTGCTTCTAACTGAGGGAGGAAGATGAGACAGGGAAGGGAGTGCATGGATTAGGCTACTCGGTAGCCGAGTAGCTGGGAGGCTGGAAGTTGACGAGATCTCTGCAATATTCCTTGTTTCCATGTTCAAGCTTCCAACACATGCCAGTGCTACCTATCCCTTTCTCCTCCCTCCGTCCCTCCCTCCCTTCCTCTACCCTCCTTCATTCCCTCATTCCCTCCCTCCCTCTCGCCTTTCCCCCGGGCCTCCATCTTTCCCTCCGTCCCTACTTCCATTGGCAGGGGCTCAAGGGCGGGGTGGAGACAATGAAGGAGGAGGAGGTGGCGCGAGTCTCTGCCATGCTGTCAGGCGCTGCTGCGTTTGTCCCCTTTAAAGAGCGCCTCAAGCTCATGGTTGTGCGCAGAGATGGGGCGAAAGACGCCGCCCGGACAGTCCTAGCACGGGAGGACGGGAATGGGGACGCGAGGAGGGAGAGGGCAGGAGAAAGGGGGGGTGGAGGGATGAGGGGCGAGTCTGGAGGGTTGCATGGAGAGGAGGGAGAGGAGGACGAGGACGAGGACGAGGAGGAGAGGGGGGGGAGTGATGAGGAAGGGATTTCAGAGGAGGAGGATGGTGAGGTGGAGGCAGGAGTTGGGAGGAGCTGTGTGCGCAGGAGGAAGGGGGGAGTGAGAAGGAGAATATCAAGGACGGTGGGGAGAGTGATGGGAGTTAGGGACAAATCAGGGGGTGTAGCAGCAGGAGGGAGGGGGCGGAGAGAGGAGTGGGGAAAGGAGGAGAGCGCTGCAATTCTAACACACCCATACCAGATGTTCTTCCGGGTCTGTGCTCGCTCTTCCCTTATTGTCTCTGCTGCCCAACACTTTTCATTTCTGCCTTGTGCTTGATTGCTCCATGCTTCTTTCGCTTTTCAGCCTTTATTTCTCCCTCCTTCAAATCCAAATTCTCTGGAAATATTATTCCTTATTGCAGCAACTGTATCAGTTGGTGCCTCTTGATTTCACCCTTAATCGTTTCTGGTCATCCATGTCCTCTGTCTTGGCTGTTCCGCATGCGTGTCCCCATCACCATGCACGCCAGGGACCCGACTACTTGGAGATAGACATAGACCTGCACCAGCTGCCTCAATCGTCCCGCAAGGCCCTGCTGCCTCTCCTCTGCACGCTCCCCGACTCCTCTCTCGACCTTGCCCTCATTGCCCAGGTGCCTTGCCCTCGTTCCTTAGTTGCGTCGATGTGCAGGTCATGTTTTTTTCCGTCAGTTGGTACTTGATGCGGTGAGTGGGTGTGTGGCAACCAATATCATTTTTTGCTGTCCACCCCATCCTCTGTTATTGCCCTTTGACATGCCTGTCTGCCTGCATGCCTGTCTGCCTGTGATGCTCCCAATATTTCAGGGAAACAACCAGAATGAGGTGCCTGAGCCAGTAATTGCATGTGCTAGACTCAACCATTTGAGTCCCGGCTTGTTCGCTACGCTTCTCCCCACAAAACATTGACGGAGTGGAGCACCGCATGGTCCTCGCTTTCGATCTCTTCACATTCTACCGAACTCACGCTTTTGAGTCATGTTTGTGTGCTCAGTGATGTGTTAATAGAATTCCTTATGTAATTATATTACTATTATGTCACTTCACTTGTCTGTATAGCTACATATTTTTTTATACCGCCTAGAACCTCCTCCGTACTAAAATCCTACATTTTGCAGAATTAGCTACTTGAACCTTTCTAAAACAAACCAGAAATCGAACCTGCGCAGAATCAATCGGAGGGGAGGCGTCCTCGGCATGAAGTTCGTGAGGGCCGCGACTTCCCAGGAACCTCCCGCAGACCACCACCGCATCGACCGTACGGTATCGTTCATCGATCGAAGACACATTGCCCAGCGAAATGCGTCCTCGTACGTACGAATTGCTTCAAACCTGCCTGAATTCGCGACACGTCAGCAGTAGTGAACCAGACATGAACCACACTCTGAACCCACGCACGCGCCGCGTCAACCACCGTGCTGGCTGGTTCTCTCGAGTCTGCTTTCCCGCCTCTTCTCTCCTTCCAAGATCACCCTTCCTACCAGCCAGCTGAAGTCACCCTTCTACATTACAGAATTGGATTTCGCCAGAGCCAGTGTGAGCTTCTGCTGCGGCGGGCTTACAGTCATTCATTGTCATTGCGTCGCTTTGCTCTCTGTGTGTAACGCGCAATAAGATTTCTTGGCTTTTCCTGTCATATTGCTCGCTACGAGCCTGAGAATGGGTCTTCGTGGTCCCACGACGTACGATGCGGAGCCCACGCGGCGTCCCGACATGATCGTGAATCACCAGGTTCGCCCGCCCCTGCCTACGTCTGGTCTGGCTCTGAAATTCCAAATAAAGATCTGAGTTACAGCAAGTCGGTCGAAGGTCTATCATTTTGCTACGCGCTAGGATGCGATGACGTACCGGCAATTCGCGAATCAAATCCACGATCTTGGATAATGCTCTCTGGATCTTATGTTCATGCCTGAATTTGTCAATATATGGTCCTTGTTTCATTTCAACCTCGCTCCTGTGGTTCCGGCTGACGCTGGAATCTGCTCATATCTCCCCCATATCGCCGCCACAGGCGCCGTACAATGCGGAGACTCCACCCGCGCTGCTGGGAACGGCGTTCATCACGGGCGCCGACGCCTTCTACGTGCGCAGCCACGGGCCCACGCCCGTGCTAGACGATGCTGACAGGTGGGACGGCGGCGCGACGCTGCCACGTCGGTTGCCAGCAACGCTGCCACGTGGGATGTCAGACTTCCTTTGAGTTAGTCAACGAAGAATCGGGTCGTGCGATCTCGTTACCTGGTCTGGGCCCACGTCTGGTGGTGGTGTGGGTGCTTTTGGTGTTGCTGATGGTGCTGCAAATGATGTTGCTGATGGTGCCGCTGCTGTTGATGAGGCAGGTCTTTCCAAGCCCCTCCTTGCAGAACTCTGTGGGGATATATAGCACCAGAGTGCGTGAGGAGGCCGTAGATGCTCTTGGCTATGTCTGGCGCAACTCATTTTGCATCTTTACGTGTATATGTGTATGTGTGCATGCGTGCGTGCTTGTGTGTCCGGGAGGGGTGTGCGCGCACGTGCCTGCGTGTGTGTGGGTGCGGAGGTGTGTTTATGTGCGTGTGTGCATGGGTGTGCGACCACGTGCATGGGTGTGCGCATCGGAGCAGCTATCGCTTGCAAGTGGGCGGTCTCGTGCCCAAGCCGCTCTCTCTCTCCCTACAGGACATCAAGTGAGCTCCCTTTTCCCAATTCAACCCGTTTGTAGCAACACTTGTGCTCTTCAGCCATCATCCCCGCATCTCTGATCGTTTGTTCTACCAGCTCTACCGTCCTTCACCTTGCGTTGCTTCCAAACCTCCACCGCGATTCTCATGTTCCCAAGGCCTGTCGCTCCTCTCATATCGTGCCTGTGTGCTGCAGGTCCATGCCAGCGGAAACCATTGTTGCCACCATGATGGTGAGCCCTCGTCAGCCTCTCAACAGCCTCTTGGCACGTCTCAAGTCTCGCATGAGCCGATTATGAGCCCACCGAGTCGCTTCCTGTTGGCTATTCCATGCTGTCGGCTCATGTGCAGCAGACATGGGCAGCTGCATATTTCCTTCCTAATCACGCCACGCCCTTGGGACTACCCTAGCTCCCCGCGTCTCACTTTGCCAACACCAATCTGCCAAGCCGGCCATGGCCTGCCCTGTATTGACTCGCCTACTCACACCCGCCTCTCCTCGTGCACGTTATGCGTATCCCACTCTCGTGCCCTGCCCAACCACCTTGTCCCCCAGTGTGCGGGCAACAGGCGCACGGAGATGAGCACCAGGCGCAAGGTCAAGGGCGTGGGGTGGTCCCAGGCTGCCATCGGGAATGGTGAGACTCCTGCCGCCCCCCTGTCCTGCCCTCCTGCCCCCCCTGTCCTGCTCTCCTGCCCCCCCTGTCTGGCTTTTTGCTTTTTGCGTAATATACGTGGTTTTTCACGCTCATGACCACTCATTCACTTTTGTCCCATCAAATCTCCTTCTCTTCGCACCTCCACGCCCTCCAAATCCCACCCTTGTCATCCCGTTCCGTCTCAAATCCCCCACCCTTGAAGTCCCATTTTTTTCTGAACCTACCCTCCCCTTATTCCACCTTCCCTCTCTTCACCACTCTGCATCAGCCACGTGGACAGGAGTGCGTGTGTCGCACGTGCTGGAGCTGGCAGGAGTGGCGCCTCGTTCCACGCGCACCTCAGCAGGCGGCAAGCATGTGGAGTTCACCAGCGTTGACGTCTGCCCAGTGCGTGCCTTCTTCACCCACTTACTCGCGCGCTCGCTGATTCGCTCACTCCCAGGCCTGCTCCCCTGTGTTCCGGCATCTTGTGGTACAGAACGTGTAGCTGAATGTGTATGGTTGGACTGAGAATGCAGAGCTGGAGTTACAGGATGATTCAGAAGAACAGTCGTCTACCTAATGCTTCAGTCGTCCACTGTCTCACCTTCTGTCTCTCGTGTCTCCACTGCTCTCCTTCCTCAGTCGCTCCCTCACATCTTTCCCTTCACATCGCTCTGCTTCTCTCGGTTCCCAGGAGGAGAAGGGGGGGCCCTACAAGGCGTCGCTGCCGCTCCTCCACGCCTCCTCACCAGAGCAGGATGTGCTCTTAGCCTACCAGATGAACGGACAGGTACACCACCCTCTCGCATGCACGTTCCCTCTTCTCTTCCCATGGTCTTCTCCCCCTTCCCTCCCTGTCGTCCTCTCCTCGCCAGAGCAGGATGTGCTGTTAGCCTACCAGATGAACGGACAGGTATGCTCTCTCTCCTTGCACCCCACCATCACCACCCTCGCACATGCTCGTTCCCTCCTCCCATGCTCTTCTTCTCCTCCCCCCTCCCCCCTGCTCCCCCACCCCACCCGCCCCCTGTCATTCTTACCTCTACATGCCTTTTTGCAACATGAGTGCTGTCGTCATCGTGCCATTTGTCTCTCTTGTATCAGTGTGTCTCTCTTGTCTCGGAACCCCCCCCCCCCACTTCTTCCCTGCAGGACTTGACTCCTGACCACGGCTTTCCTCTGCGCATCGTTGCTCCCGGGGTCATCGGGGCGCGTTCGGTGAAGTGGCTGGATCGCATCGACGTCCTCTCGCACGAGTCGCAGGGCTTCTTCATGCAGCGCGACTACAAGATGTTTCCCCCCAGCATTGACTGGCACAACATTGAGTGGAACACTCGCCGCCCTATCATGGACTTCCCTATCCAGGTAAAGACTGCATCCCATGCCATGCAATGTCCCTGCGTATTAATCCTTTCCCAACCGTATTTTGAGAAGCATTTGAAAAGGGGCATGTTTTCCCCTCTTCTCGCTCCTTCAAATTGCCTTGGTCCACAGCACCCGCCACCAGCGTCGCATGATTGTTCATGCATAGCTTCTCACCCAAGGAATCTTCTCTCCCACCCAACCCCATCAACGTGCCCCCCGCCCTCCAGTCGGCCATAACAGAGCCTGCAGTGGGGGAGGAAGTACAGCCAGGTCCTGTGAGTGCTCTCAGCTTGACTTACGCCACTACCACGATTATTCCTTGCGATCTCTGCAGTCTCTCCTCTCCACTCCTCTCCTCTCCTCTCCTCTCCCCTCCTCCGCGTGCCTTTCCATTTCTCCTCCCTTTTACATTTCAGCTTCCTCCAAGTCTCGACCTTTCCTCCCCCCTTATCCTCCCTTTTCTCCTCATTCCTCCTCTCCACCTCTCCTCTCCTCTCCCTTATCCACCTATCCTCTCAGTCTCCCCTTTCATCCCATGCATTTCCGTGCACAGCTCTCCATATAAATCGCCCGCACCTTTCCTCCTACAACACCCAATCTTAACCCTCGCATCCATTTTAATCCAACCCCCATGCCACGTAGATCACCATCTGGGGGTATGCAGCAGTGGGCGGCGGACGTGGCATCGAGCGGGTGGAGGTGTCAACTGATGGAGGCGCCACCTGGCAGGAGGCCACGCGCCTGCCACACACCGTCGACAACCCCTCTCAATTCGGCCTCCTGCAAGGCCCGGCAGCAGCAGGGGAGGGAGGCGGCGTGTATGTGGCAGATGCGGATGAGGAGGGAGAGGGGCGGTTCAAGTGGGCGTGGGTGCTGTGGCAGCTCAACGCCACTGTCACTCCGCCATGCCAGATTGTCGCTCGTGCGGTGAGGCATGCTGGAAGCATATCAGGAATGCCCCGGCGAATCATTCTTTCTCTTTCTCTGTGCCTCGGCCTTTTTGCGGGCCAGGCTGCATTCTGTCTTATCCGGCACGTGACCACGTCCGGTTTCCCGCTTGCTGTGTTCCCGTGGCTGTACCTCAGGTGGATTCATCGTCCAACACACAGCCGGAGGATGTGGATAGCATTTGGAACCTGAGGGGTGTGCTCAACAACTCGTGGCACCGTGTGGACCTCAAGGCTGCTGCCGACAATGCTGCTGCTGCTAAACTCTAATTTGCTATGTAGAAACATCTGGTGTGCATGGTCTTCGCTTGTTCGTCGTATCCATCCAATCTGTGTGTCTCCTGTTATGATTTTGAACCCTTGTGTTGTGCCTTGAACATTTATGGAGGAGGATGCTAAGAATGGAGGCGCAGGGTAAAGAAGGTGGCTCGGCCATGTGGGGGAAACTCTTAAGAACCTACTTGCTTGAGTGGCGAGAGAATGGTCATACTAGGTGAAAGGGAGGGATACAACAGAAGTGTCGAGAAAGTTTTGTACCCCCTAACATCCAACTCACTATAGCATATCTAAATCTACAAACATAGTTTGACACACCCCCATAGGCTAAGTGAGGGGCATCAAAACAGGTATGACACGCATGTGGTCACAAGACCAGTCACGAAGAGAAAAACAGCAAGCTCAGGGTGGATCACGAAGTCACCACACATTCTGAGCACAAACAAGAGGCCACAAGGCCAGTTCAAGACATCGCAGTCATATATAGAAGTACAGCAAACAACAAGAGACAAGACTACTGTAGCCAAAAGCCTATGTCAACAAGGCCTAACTGCGAACAGAACCTGTGGTGGTCACCAAGCGGAAGGGCCTTGGTGAAGATGTCTGCAGTGTTAGCCTCTGAGGCCACGAAGTCCAAGCGTGCCTGGCCACGTCGCTGCAACTCTCACAGGAGAAAGTACCTGACGTTGATGTGCTTCACTCTGCTCTCCAGTCGAGGCTCTCGACACAGGAGGATCACGGCTTTTTTGTCAGCGAACAAGGTCGGTGCAGAGCTCGGCCGCTCACCAAGGTCGGTGAGCAAGAAAGTCAACCAGCGAAGCTCCTGCGCAGCCATGGCACCGGCGTAGATCTCTGCCTCTGCACTAGAAGAAGCCACAGAAGACGACCGAGTAGACCTCCACGACACAGCTCCAGCGCCCAAGCTGAAGCAGTAGCCCTGAATGGACCTATGTGTCTCCACGTCGTCGGCATAGGAAGAGTCGCAGTGACCAGTCAGTACAACTGGCTGTGTCCCTCCAAACACAAGTCCCATGCCTGATGTAGTCGCCATGTACTTCGCCACCCTCACAGCAGCTGTCCAGTGAACAGGATGGTGTCTCCCAGTCGCAACAAAGCGAGAGAGGACGCTGAGGGGAAAAGCGAGGTCCGGACGAGTACAAGTCATCAGGTACATGAGGCAGCCCACAAGCTCTGCGTAGGGACCACTAGACTCAAAAGGCTCGTCGGGAAAAGGGCCGGTGACAGGGCTCTCGTTATCAGACCAAATTGGTCTGATTTTCTGATTTTCAGACCTTTATTTTGGGTTTCATCTGATTTTCAAGACGAGGATTTTTACTTCGTCTGATCCGTAAGATTACGAAATTTAGTTCATCTGATTTTTCAGAGCAAGCCTAATACTTAGTCTGAAATTTCAGATAGCGGGTTGCAATTCGTCTGATACCGAACCCCCTCCCCCCCCCCCTCCCGATCCCTCGCTTCTCTAAGCCCCCTTTCGATGCCCTCGCTCCTCTTCCAGGCCTAGTCCAGAGTTCTCCCCCTTCCCCCCAGCCTTAGGTCCCCTCCCCAGGTCCCCTCCCCATGCCCCTCGTGAAGTCTCGCAACAGCCCAGCCCCCCCCTTTCTTCTCGCGTCCCTCCACCCAACCTGATCCCTCGCAGCACCTCAATGCCACGTGCATGCCCCTCAACAGCCACACGATTGTCAGCTAGCGAGCTGTCAGCGCCGCGCCAGGGGCGCGTTCATTAACAAAAACAAGTGTGGTCATGCTAGACAAGGGTGTTAGCTGAATCAGACTATGCAAATTAAGTAGTCTGAAAAAATCAGAAAAGCTCCAACATTCGTCTGGAAAATCAGACCAGAAAAATATGCCCGTCTGATCGTCAGACGGAACGATTTTTTACTTTGGTGTTTTCAGACAGGCCCAAATCATAGCAAGAGCCCTGGCTGGTGAGTCTGTGGTTAACGGCAAGAGGAGTGTGCTGTGTGGTGGAGTGCTGAAGCCCAAACCGCTGAAGGACCTGCCGCACCATGTGTGACTATGTGAGTGTGATGGTGCGAGCGGCTGCGTCCCTGGTGATCTACAAGCCAAGGTAGCGGCGCAGCTCACCAAGGTCAGTGCACATCTGTCTTTTCTGCAGCTCGGACTTCACCTCAGGCAGTGCAATCCTGCCTGCTGTAGCAAAGACCAATTCGTCGACGTAGACGAGGACGAAGAAGGGTGTGGGCCCAGAATGAACGAACAGCGACGGGTCGGCGGACGAAGGGCGAAACCCGAGGGCAGCAAGAGTAGTGCGTAGCGTGTCGTGCCACTCACGGGGCGCCTGGCGGAGACCGTGGACTGGTCGCCTCAGGCTCCACTGGGTCCCAGGCGGGAAAGTGCCAGTGAAGCCAGGAGGACGACGCAACCAGATCTCCTCATGCAAGCTGCCATGGAGAAAGGCGGTGGAGAATTCGAGGGAGTGCAGCTCGTAGTCTCGCTGTGCTGCAACCTGTAGTAACACCCGAAGAGTCATCATCTTCGGGGTCGGAGCAAAGGTCTGGAAGAAGTCAACCCCCTCACGCTGACTGAAACCTCTAGCCACGTAGCGCGCCTTGAACACAGGCGGCGATCCAGGCGGCCGCTTCACCTTGAAAATCCACATGCCGTCGACTACGTTCGCCCCAGGTGGGGGAACTGCGTCGACGTAAGTGCCTGTGGATCTCCAAGACGCCATCTCAGACTCCATGGCCGCTATCCACTGAAAAGCCCACTGCCCTGACACTGCCTCACGGTACGTGCGAGAAGTCGGTATGTCAAGGGCGTCGGGGTCTCCCTCAGGAGCTAGCAGCATGGCACAGAGATGGGGAGAAGCGGCCGCCAAGAACTCCAGCTCAAACTGCCTGTCCTCTAGGACGTCACAGCCAAGGGCAGACTCACCCCCGGCGGACAGAGGACGGGCAGCTACCACACGGGTGGCGTAGTCAAGGCGATGGGCGGCGGCAAAGTCAGCGACAGTGGCAGAAAGAGCCGAGACAAACGACGGAGGGGCACGAGGGTCCGTGACTAGAGAGGCGAGAACACGAGTGACAACAGGACGGGTGGCACGGTAGTAGTGAGTGATAGGGGTAGACGTGGAGGCTGTAAAAAACGACTCAGGATGTGACGGGAGAACAGACTGAGGTGGAGAACGACAAGGACTCGAACGAAGCAAGACAGTGCGGAGGTCGTCAAAAGGAGACGAGGGATGTGCACGGGCGGGACACCGCACTGTCCAGTTGTGCGGGACAACAGGAGGAGACGACTGTGACTGCGGAGGAGAGAAGACAGCCGGAGAAGAGTCTGGGGGGGGGGGGACGTAGGACCGTAAACAGGGGAAGACAGTGAGCGGTCTGGAGGAGAGGAAGGAACTCCAAGGGCCCGAAGGCCACTCACAGGTGGAAACAACGGCTGCAAGGGCGGCGCCTGCTTCGAGTGCTGCTGCTGCTACTGCTCCTGCTGTTGCATCTCCTGCTGCTGCCGCTCCAGCCCCAGCCTCTCCTGCTCCAACCGCTCCCGCTCCTTGCGCTCCAGCTGACGAAGCCTTTGGAAACTCGTCGGGTAGCAGTGGGGAGGTGGCGTAGGCACCACAGTAGCAGTACCTCTAGTTCCAGTCTCCTCAGAACTAGCACCTCCAGCTCCAGCACCCCTAGAACTAACGTCCCCAAGACGAGCACCCCCATAACAAGCACTGCCAGTGCCAGCACCCCCAGTAAGAGTACCTCCAGGACGAGCACCTCCAGCGCCAGTAGCCTCAGCTCTGGCACCCTCAGAACTAGTACCTCCAGCGCCAACACCCTCAGCTCCACCACCCTCAGAACTAGCACCCCCAGCGTCTGTGCCCCCAACACCAGCACCCCCGGAACCAGCACCTCCAGCGCCAGCACCTCCAGCTCCAGCGCCCCCGGAGTCCACAGTAACCTGTCGCGGAAGTGCCGAAGGCTGCTGAGGGGACCGGGAGGACGACTGCGGAGACGCTACCTGACGCACGACCAAGGGTAGAGGGGTAGCGTGGGACACACCTGACGGGGCAGGACCAGGGGGGGGCGGGGGTACCGGAGGAGCGGGAGCAGGAGGAGGAGAGGGGGCGAGAAAAAGGGGAGGGGGGGGAACCGGGAGACCTCGACAGGGGTACCGGGTGTAGTAGGACACGAACTCGCTAAACCGGACGTCACGAAAGTCAAGGAACTGGTGGAGGGGCGGGTGGTAAAAGGTGTAGTCAGAGGAGTCCATCGGGAAACCAAGGAAGACACGGGGAAGGCGCGGGCCGAGAGCTTGTCCGCAGAGGTATCGCGGACAAGCGCAAGGCAGCCCTAGACTCGAAACTCCGATGCAACACCAGGGGACCCGGTCCAAAGACTGGTCGGTGAAGCCCCTGGCCGAGAGACACGAGGCCAGAGGTTCAGTTGGTGGGCGGCGTAACGAACCGCGTAGGGAGACAAATAATGGGGCGCAGGCGCATGGATCATGGAGGTACGGGCAATCTCCATGACCAAGCCTATGCGGCGCTCAGCAACCCCATTTTGCTGTGGGGACTCTGGAAGCGTCCAGGACTGGGTGATGCCCTGCTCGCTACAGAATCCGCGAAGAATGCCGTAGCGAAACTCGCCCCCACGGTCGGAGTGAAGACAACTAACACGACGGCCACGTGTAGTCTCAGTGGCCAGCAACCACCGGATCAGCGTAGAAGTCACGTCGGACTTCTTCGCCAGAGGGAACACGGTGGTGTAGCGGGAGTAGTCCTCAACGACCACTAGAGAAAAACTCTCCCTCTCAGGCCCAGGGCGAGGGGCGGGGCCCCAGACGTCCAAGTGGAGAGTCTGGAAAGGTGCAGTGGCCGGACGAAGGGAGGAGGAGTGAGGAGTGGCGCGCAGCCGACCCTCAACGCAAGAAGTGCACAACGGCGCAGGCGAAGGAGGGGGCGACGCAAAGACGCGCGGGAGACCTGAGACAAGACGCTGACTAGCCATGCTGTGGAG